GTTCACTTTCTTCATTTTAAGAGAAATTAACCGTTCTCATGACAATAAAGAGGTCAAAAACAAATTCTTGAGTTCTTTAAATCATTGTGCAGATAGTATAACAAGTTCCCACTCAATATTAGACCCTGTGTTGCTATAAGCCCTCAACTACTGTGTGAGAATTCCATTTTTATAATGAACTGAAATATATATAAACCAGACAGATTAATGGCCGAGATAAGTAGAAAAAGACCACACAGAGACGCTTTAACTATAATTTGGAGCTTGTTCGCAAATTCCCCCCACTGATTGCACGGGTTCCCCCTCTTTACCCCGCAAAACTTGAAATTACATATAATACATTGAATGATCACGCAGACAAACAGTCAAACACAAGTCATAGCTACAGGTGCATAAAAAAGACTGCTCATGAAAGATCCTTTTATGCATCTCCCCCATTTTCTGATCAGTCTTCGTTACATACTTAAATTAATTGCTTCAGTGATATGTCAACATCTATATAGTCTACCAATGACTTGGAAGCCATTCATTTTAAACTGAGGATAATTAGACTAAGAACAAAATTAGCAGACACACAACATAAGCATATGGATGATTCCATAGACAGTAGGAGCCTATACATAGCAAGACAGCATGGGCCGCGGGGCAAAGTCAGTCCCCTTGAGGAACAGCAACAGGGTATGACTTTTGAAACCAAAGAGCAACGAGGAAAAAAACAAACAGTAGTAAATAAGATAAGCAGCTAAGCAGGGCCAAAAGCCCAAAGCAAAACATCAAATACACCAGGGGCATGAAAAATTTTACCAAGGTGGGACCTTTAGCTCCTGAAAAAATGGACAGTGTAGTAATGAGGGGAACCCCTACAAGTGATAGACAAGCTTGCTGGCAATGGTCAGGTCCAGCTTTCACATGCCCCCACTAATGCATGGTAACGGTACCTACTAGAGCCGAGTGGGGAAGTGGCGTGAGGGTGAGCAGAGAGATTGTGAAGAGTAAATGGGGAATCAATGGGGACAAATGGGCTGTGTGGGTTAGAAGCGACACAGAGAGCGACAAGTGCTGTGGGCAAACTGGCGATGATGATGACGATGGGGTGGTGCAAGTGAGCCATGGGCGATGGTTGGTCCAGCTGTGTTGTGTGCGTGTAGGAGCTACAGAAGTAGGGAGTGACAATCAGTCATGTGATGTTCACGAGCTGACCACCTGACCATGACAATGCCATCAATTTATGAGTTTGCAAGCCTCTGTTTCAATCAACGCGTCTCATACTTTGACATTCCAAGCACCATCAGAATCATCTCTGAATTCTCACCCCCAATACTCATAGCCGAATGCGCGTCTTCCCCTCAACTTCCAGTTTGTTTTTTCCGGAGAGTGTTCTCAGAGTAAGAATCTAGGGGGGCACAAAGTGAGAGAGAAGCGGTTCAGATTAGTTATGGACTTGAATAGTAGCAGTAATACTTGACCGTTATGCTTTAGCTTTTCGTTGACCCTTTTATATATTATGGCCACGCAGATATGTGTGTGTGTGTGAGTGTGTGCTCAAACTCAAGGCCGTAAAAAGTATACGCAAGGGGTCAAACCGTTAAAAGGCCTTAGCTAGGAACATTCAACCTATCTCCATGGTGAACATGTAATCGGCTGATGGGCCTAAAATTTCAAGTAATAAAGCCCATAAGCGAAGGCCCACTTACTCGTTTCAGTAGTGTTATGACGATTGTGACTACACAGCCCGATAACTTAATGAAATTTTAAAGGCGGGTGGCATGATAATGATACGATTTGTGATTGATATGAAATTTTTTTTTTTTGGACTACATACAGGTATTCTCTTGTTAAAGATAATCTTATTTAAAACACTGCAGGGTGCTAAATGTCTCCTAATGATGATTTGAACCTTAGTTCAGTTTTTTCACTAGATCCAACTCTTGATTATTTTTAATTGTAGGGGATTAAAATTGCGGCTCGTTTGGTCAAAAATTCTGTAGGTCTAGATTGGGCGTGAGCTCATACATTGTTTTGGGTGATTATTACTTTTACTGTATTGTTTGGGAACCACATTAAATCATTTGATGTGACATAAAATGGACAACTTTTAGTTTGTTAATACATTATATAACTCGTCTTTGCAGTTGCCTTGAAGGATCCCCATATAATGAACTATTTTGCTAATTATCACTCATGATCTGAGTGTAAGAATTATTTAGGAAATTGTTTTTCATGCTAAATGTAAAACCTTAATTTATTTGCAGTGTTTTTTTCTGGGAAAAAACAAAGAAAAGAAAAGAAATCATTTGACATAAATGGCTGCATAACTGTGGAGTTATGAAGCCTATTATCGGAATTCAAAATGCTCAAAGACGAATCAATCAAATTATCCATCAATTCTTCGGACCTGTTTTAAGTGTAGTTTCTACTTGCTAGTGTGAACTATATTGTCCGTTTACGAGTACGACATTAAACATTGTTGAAATTGATGTCATTAAATCTATCCAACAATGATGGACTGGTCGCCGCTGCCGAGCTAAGGAATTCAGTTCTTGAACCCATTTTTTGGGCCTTTCAAATATCTGAGAGGTCGCACGACTTCTTGGCAACCTTCTTTGTAGCAACAAGTATCAACAATAAATAATAAGAGTAATTAGGGAGTGTTCGGATAGAAACCAAACTATAGTTTCAGAAGTACTTTTACGGTTTATGAAATAAATATGTGGAGAAATTTGTCTCGTTTTACAGAAAAATACTTCTGAAACCATGATTTGGAGGTTAGCAAACACCCTTTCGGGTATGCTCTTTGTTCTTCTATCCTAGAAGAGATTGATTTTTAGTGTCAGCAGAACATATTTCTGATCCCGCAACAGAATTTTAAGAATATAACTAGCGAGATTCCGTTTGCCCATCTGTCCCCTTTGAGCAAATTTAATTGGATTAATTTCATTGTTAGTTCTTGAGTGAACTTTTGTTTTGTTCCTGTAGTTTCAAACTGTCTTTTTTTTTTTTTCATATAGTTTCACGAGGATTTAATCTAAATTAATATTATTAAGTAGAGGAATCTCTTAAGAGCATGGGGACTAAAATCAAAAATCATTTTATTATTATATTTTTAACGAGTTCCAATCTTGCTCATTCAATTCAGACCAACTCATTACCAAGTTATGTGAACTAGAACTGTGATTTAAAATTATACGGATTAAAATCAAAATTCAATGAAATTATAAGAATTAGTAGTATTAACCCAAAATAGTCAAAGATTATATGGGGGATTTTCATCTGTACTATTTAATCCAGCTTAATTCAAATTAGTTAGAGTGTAACTATATAGTGAGTTTGGGAAAATTAGTTATGATGATGTTTTCACAGCCCTGCCTTCCCTTCTGTCGATAAACAAAACTTCATCTTTCCACTCGCTTGTTCTTTTGTCTTGTTTTGGACTTTTAAGCTGCGCCATTTTGCTTGCCCCTGGCTTTTGTCAATTCACAACTGGCATTTTTTTAAAAAAAAAATCTATATTAAAAAAAAATATTTGAAATATCTATAAGTTCTCTCAATTTTTAATTTGGTACTTGTGTGTTTTTTTTCTTTCAATTAAATTATTTAATTTTACTTTTTTTAAGCAATATTAGTTCTTGTAATTTTGTTATATTAGCATTTGTAGTCTCTATGTAAGAGTTAATGATATTAATAGAGCCAAATTAAATATTTGATTAAGAGAAAAAACATAAATATCAAATTGAAAATTAAAAAAAAAAAGAAAAAGCTATAGGTACCTCCAAAATGATTTGCCAATCAGTCTTCATCTATTTATTTGCAGTAGCATTTTCTGCCGTTGCTGTTATTGTCTCCGTATCAAACGTTAATATCGATGCGTGCCCCTAGTTTTTGTTAACAACTGTGTTTTACTTTTTAGTAATATATAAATATGTATCTCACGTTAAAATATACTCAAATGATGTAAATCGAAAAGAACTAAGGTATAAGTAAATCTTTAGTCAATCGATTAAAAAAAAAGAAGCAAATTTCTTCTGCAAATCCCAATCAACCGGAAATTAAATCGATCGAAGCAAGTTACAATTTGATCCCTGAGTCTTTCAAATCATAATTCACCCGAAGATAAAATTTCTTATCAGTACACACAACAGCTTGACAGTACTGCAGATCTAATAACTTCGATTCAGAAAGTGCACAAAATTATAAAAAGTATTGATAGAAATAAAATTAGGCTAACTCAAATTGTGAAAACAGGGCGAGACACGTATAAAATTCGGCTAACTTTTGGAAAAATTTGCCGTTTCTTGACAGTTTAGAACAAAGAAGAATTAATCGATAAAGTTTGAAATTTTGAATACAAATAAATCAAATCAGGTGAAAACTGAATAAGAACTGGTCTTCAGTTTTAAATATAAGATTCACTTATATTGAAAAACAACTAATTTTACAGAAGATATGGGCAATGGAATCCATTGAAGTTGATGCCAAAAACGACATCCAACTCCTTAAGCACTCTTTGCCCCTACGTGACAATTTCTAGATTTTTTTTGGCTTGATCATATAATTATTTATACACAGGTTGTGATGCAACGTACATAATCCTTATCACTCAGAGCATCAGCATATTCTTCGGCCAGATGCCAATATCTGCGGGCTTTGACTTAAATTCCTGGATCCAATCCAAGATTCCCCTTCACACCCACCGATTCAGGACGTGCATCCCCACCTTAACATTGGTGTGCGCGCGTCTTCAGCGCAGGATAATCTTTCTACTTAGGAGTGGGGCTCCATAACAGCCTATGTGATTTACTATCCACACCCCACGCTTCTAGAAAAGCTGAAAAGGAATTGATTCTTCAATCATTTTAAAAATTTCAATTTTTAATGCCCGATCCAATTGGTGTCGACCAAGTTGGTCCTGCGTCAGACCCACCAGAGTGGTAAAATATTGATTAACTAAAATTTAACGATTTGCAACTGCGAGCAGATCCATCGTCATTCCGCTAGGATTGTTAAACAACAAAAACGAGACAGGTCACTAACAAACTGGATTTTATAAACATAATCATCCCGAGTATTATACATTCTTCATCGTTCATCATCAGCAGTGCCATCATCGACTAAAATTTGACACGAAAAACAACAAAAAAAAGGAAGGATTGATTATTATATGCAACGTTAGAAGTCCGGAGGCGGGGAATTTACGGATCCGAGCGAGTCTTGAAGTCGGAGGCGAGTCGAGAAGCGATAGCGGAGTGATACATGGTGTCGTGAAAAGTCTCCGTCTCCATGGTCATCAACCGGAGCCGCCTTGCCTTATCCTCCGTCAAGCAACCGGCGAATCGTGGTTTTCCAGCTTTCGATTTCGACACGGTGACGGACTCGGGTTTCTCCGGGAGATCTGCGGTTTTGTTGTTGTTGGAATCAATGTAGTCGGGTTCAGAAGACCAGCCGAAGATCGGAGTCCACCAGTTGGATGACGAACCTTTCCGGCGATCTTGGTCGGGCCTACGGTGGCCGGAGTTGGCAGAAGCTTGGATAACGGCAGGGTAGACGGGGGTGAAAGTAGAGGCCATCTTGAGAGAGAGAGGGTGAGAACTGGAACTTTCTAAATTTTCAGATAAAATCAGTAAAGGTAGGTTTCTACCGGCCAAGCCCTATCATCGTAGGCATGTATTTATAGCATGTTGGGGTAGGAAAAGGATAAGAACAGACGCGTGGCGAGGTGAGAGAGAGGGATCGGTGGGCCTCTTCACGGTTTTTTAATGACTTTTTCACCGGCTATTTCGGTGGCCCATTTCTCCTGTCCGTTGCGGGGAGGGGGGGGCATGGAGCTATTTACGAAAATAGCCTTCCGCGTCAATGACGTAATGCGTGTCCATGATCCATTTATTATTTAATATTCCTCCGGTCCTACTTATAAGATCCAATTGATTTATTTGAGGAGATTAAGGAAGTAAATTAAGTTGGTTATTTATAATAAATAAGTGTTGTTATTTCTAAAATATCTTTGCTAATTAAGTATATTGGTTAAAACTATCATTATTAGAAGGATTATCTTGGAGAGAAAATGGATTGGGTCTTATAATTAGGACCAAATAAAAAGTCAAATTGGATCTTATAATAAGGACCGGAGGAGTATTTGATCAGTTTCAGAATTTCAGTTGCTTCTAAATCTTTGGCCACCGTCTGTTAGTTACTTCTAAATCTTGGGCCAACTTCTGTTAGCTTTAGCCACTCCATCATATTTAGATTATATTTTTGTTAGCATTGTGCAAGAAGCAAGTCTTCAATGTTATCCATATTGCGTGTAATCATAAATTTTTTTGTTTTTGGCCAACGTAATTATAATTAGAGAATTAGATAATATTAATAATTAACCGAAGGCAGGGAGATACTCGGAAGTTGCGTAGGAATAGTATGGACCGTGTGCCCAAGATTTGATCGGACAGGTACATGTACATTGCTCGTGGTCAATTGGTTTGGGCCTGAATGGGCCGACAAGGCACATAAGACAAGCACGTGATGTTCGTGGCAGTGGGGAAGCAACGACATATGGGTTTGTCGTTTTGTTAAGGGGAGAGCTAGATGGCAAATTTGAAAAGTAAAAAGCGTAAGAAAGAATTTAGTGGTAGGAATACGCATTCTCACTAGAAAAGGAAGGTGTTCGATTTCCAGTTACAGTGTTTGGGGAGGTATTTTAGAATAGGAGTGTCTAGATTGATATCTGATGATATAATATGGGTTTACCCTACTCAATGTTGATATCATCTAGGAGGAGCCATTCAAGCGGTCTATCCTTCTTGAGTTGAGTCTCAATTCTTGATTAAAATTTTGTAACAAAAAAAAAGGGCATAAGAAGGACAAGGAAATACCGAAAGAGATGGCACATGGGGACGCAAGTTGGCGAATTTTGTCACTTCTCATCCCTTGTTTTGTTTCTGAAACGATCTCCCACTTTCGAAGAGGCCTCCCCACATAATGACTCCAATTTGATACATGCCAATTTAGTATAGGACGGTCATTTTTTAACTTAGAAATATCGTGCCTTTGCCATTTGCCCTCATGAGACGGACAGGAGGGAGAGAGCAGAGCGGGAGAAGGGGGAAGAAAGAAAATAGTGAAGTATTTGATTGATGCCCAAGAATTCTTTCACGTCTTGTTCGCCATTCTTTGATTTGTTATGCACCTTGAAAAGTCAACATTTGCTTGCTGCCATTTTCTTTCCTCCTTTTTTCTAGACATATGTATCCTCCTATTAGAAATAATCCTATTCGAGATACTATCTCTGATCCTTAATATAAGACATTGTTTGATTTTTGTTTTGATCCTAAATATAAGACTCCGATCCACTTTGTCTCTCATATTTATGCATTTTTTTTAGGATAGTCCTTCTAACAATAATAGTTTTAGTTAATACACTTGATTAGTAAGAATATTTTAAGAAAGACAATATCTATTTATTACAAATAATTAACTTAATTTTTTTTAATATCCTCAAATTAATCAACTAGCTCTTATAAATAGAACGGAGTAGTATTATTAGGGACTAGTTCCTAATAAGAATTTGAATATTAATTCACCTCAGAGTGACGGGTCACTAAACCCAACCCCAATGCTTTGCTGCCATTTTTCTAGTTGGTCTTCCTGAATTCATCCTGAGAAGCCCACGGCCTCGTATTAAGTCCATATCAGAGAGGTAATTAATAAGAATAGTTTGTTCTATTTTTAAATAAGTTAAAAATACGTAGGGAAAGTAAGGGTGCATTCTATATATAGCAAATAATCAAAGATCATAATGAAAGTCACTCTTGAAACTCCAAACAAGAAAAATTAAGTAAGGAATATATATGGAGTAAGAAGTTTAACACACAAGAGAGTTAATTAATGGCAAGAATTAGAATTAATCTCAGTGATTAGTGCGATATATATATTTATAGGTGGTAGCTTATATATAATCAATTAGAGCAGAAGCACACAATAAAAGTCGCAGATGATGATATATATAGTATAGGTGGAGGATGTTTGAGAGAAAAAGATATAAATATAGTGGGTAGGTTGTGTTTGAATCATATATCATGCTGGTTTTTGATTCTGATGAGAGAAGAAGGAAAGATATGCAGGGGAGAGAATCCAGAGGGAGAGATTATTAGGGTTTTAAAGTAATTGTTAATGTCGAGCCAGCACGATGAGATAGAACTGTCAAGAGAGGCCAACCATTTCAGCCTCTCTACTGGTTTATTGCCTTCACTTGGAGCCAGCCATGCCCCCAGAATTAGCCTCAAAACCTGCATTATCTCACCTTATGATCGTCGTTACAGGTTCTGATAATCAAACCATCAATAATTAATTCATCATTCTTCTAATTAATTACTTCTGGGTTTCACGTACGTCCGTCCCATTCCTTTGCAGATATATATACGTATATACAGTAACTTTCATTTCTTTTGTTGTCATTCATTTATTGTTTCGCATGCAAGGTAAAAAAGCTTCTCTCTCAAAATGATTCATAAAAATTTAACATTCTTTTCATGGAAAGTTATTTGGGGGGAAGAAAAAATTCTTTAATCCCAAGATTATAAACGGGGATATCTTTTCTTCTTCCTTTTGTTTTGACACTAGCTCTGTTTTTAGAAGAATCAATGCGTTTCATGTTATTCTCCGAGTACGATTTCCTGTGGTCTTTCTTTTTCTTTTTCTTTTTTCTCTATCTTTTATGTGTACGGATCAAGATTATGTGAAATTTTTTTGATATTAATAAAATAACTTTTTTGGCCAAAAAAAAATGAACATGGGTATAAATAAAATGGACGTATATGTATAGGTTGTGGGAGAACTTTCTGATCATTCTGGTCGGGTACACTGCATGGGTATCGCCATTTGAGTTCGGCTTCCTGGAAAAGCCAGTAGGGTTCCTCTCGATCACGGACAATGTTACGAATGGACTCTTCGCTGTGGATATAATTCTCACATTCTTCGTCGCTTACATTGACAAACTCACTTACCTTTTGGTTGAAGATCGAAAAGCCATTGCCGCGAGATATCTCAAGACTTGGTTCGTCTTCGATGTCATCTCCATTATCCCTTCGGAGCTCGCCCGCCAAATTCCCATCTCACCGTTTCAATCCTATGGACCTTTCAACATGCTTCGTCTTTGGCGAATCCGAAGAGTTGGTGCCCTGTTTGCTAGGTGCGTATGCAATGTGTTCGTCATAATGCAAAGCCACACTCATTACACAAGCAAAAGATATATTAATTTACATGAAAGCGTAGATTCAAAATGACTAAGCGATTAGAAGAATATTAACTGTTCAAATTTTACTTTTCTTCCGAAAATAAAATTAGTTTCAGACTAAATTCATTTTGATTAGATTCGACCAATTTTTTTATCACTCATTGCTAGTTGTAACTTACTGCGGTTCTGGTAAGCAGACTGGAGAAGGACATACACTATAACTATTTCTGGGTTCGGTGTGCTAAGCTTATTTGTGTACGTTTCTAACCTTGGATTTGTCATTATATTAATATCAAATGCAAGTTCTATCGTTAGTAATTCGGGTTGTTAATGTATATATGCAGGTGACCCTCTTTGTTGTACACTTAGCCGGATGCTTCTTTTATTATATTGCCGCACATTCTGATCCCAAACAGACTTGGATCGGGCTATCATTGGAAGACTTCCATCAAGAGAGCTATTATACAAAATATGTGTATTCTATGTACTGGTCTATCACTACTTTAGCCACTGTTGGCTATGGCGATTTGCATCCAGTAAATACGTCAGAGATGGTCTTTGACATCTGTTACATGTTGTTCAATCTGGGTTTAACGTCCTATTTGATTGGTAATATGACCAACTTAATTGTCAACGGCACAAGTCGAACCAGTAGATTTGTAAGCAATTTATATTATTGGGAATGTAGCTGTAGTTAAATTGATTTACTCGAGAGAAACTTGTCTATTTCTAAGTCTGTTCTTAGGAATTCACTTGGAAGTTCGTAAAGTTTTAAGGTTTGGTATATAATTTTCAGAGGGATACCATACAGGCTGCCTCAAATTTTGCGGAACGGAACCATTTGCCTTCTCGTCTGAAAGACCAGATGCTTGAACACATGTGTTTGAGGTTCAGAACAGACTCAGAGGGATTGCAGCATCACGAGAGCCTCGATACTCTTCCTAAAGCTATCAGATCAAGCATCTCACGTAATCTTTTCTACTCTGTGGTAGATGATGTCTACTTGTTTTCTGGAGTTTCAAAGAACTTGCTTTTTCAACTGGTAATTGCAATATCCTATCTCAGTCAGGAAAATTTCGAATTCTCTCTCTTCTGAGAAAACTTTTTCTTCATTTTGCATTAAATGGGTATTGCTTTGTTTATGTAACTTCAATAGGTAACAGAGATGAAAGCAGAGTATTTCCCCCCGAAAGAAGATGTTATCTTGCAGAACGAAGAACCAACTGATCTTTATATCATAGTCACTGGTGCTGCGGTATTTATCTAACTTATCTCTGACAATGCCTTCCTCGAGAGCTATCTTACAAGATGTGGTTTCTAACGTTTCCATCAACAGGACTTGCTAGTTTTCAAAAATGGAGTCGAAGAGGCAAGTCTGGTTACTTGAAAGAGTCCAAAATATCGATATATAATTGCTTGAAGCTGTGTTACTTGTGTGATGAACCTCAATGATGATAACTGATGCAGGCCGTAGGCGAGGCTAGAGCTGGTGATGTTTTCGGCGAGATCGGAGTGCTTTGCTATAGACTACAACCCTTTACCGTTCGAACCAAGCGACTGAGCCAGCTACTGAGGTTGAACCGTACCACATTTTTAAATGCTATTCAGGCCAACGTGGGAGATGGGAACGTAATCATGAATAATCTCCTTCAGGTCTGCCTAACGTTATACCCTCAGGTCTTTCTTTAATCGTTGAAATACTGGGCTTACTATGGTGCGCACGGGCGCGCGCGTTTGTGGCAGCATTTGAAAGAACTTAAGGACCCATTTATGGATGGAATCCTAGTGACAACAGAGAACTTGCTGGCCAGTGGTAGGGTGAATCTACCGCTTAGTCTGTCCTTCGCCGCATTAAGAGGAGATGACTGGTTGTTGCATCAATTGTTGAATCGGGGCTTGGATCCAAATGAATCCGACAACAAAGGAAGGACTGCTTTGGTATGAAAAAGTGAAACATTCCATATTTTCCGCTCTCTTCATTTGGTTAGATTCACTAACCTTGTTAATCCATACCTGCATTTTCAGCACATAGCAGCATCCAAAGGGAGCTTGGACCATGTCAGGCTTCTTTTAGATCATGGGGCATATCCAAACATTAGAGGTAACTTGTCATGTCGCTCGGCTTTTCTTCCTTTCCTTTTCTAGATCCATACTTTACCAACATGAACACCGTCTGGAGTATAAACAGACGTAACTACTACTCAACTTATAAGTTAGGCTTAATTCATATGCAGATTATGATGGTAGTGTCCCATTATGGGAGGCAATAGTGGGTGGACACGAATCCGTGAGCAAGCTGTTGGTAAAAAATGGCGCTAACTTAGAATGTGGAGATATGGGTCAATTTGCATGCATTGCCGCTGAACAGGGCAACCTGAACTTGCTCAAGGATATAGTGAAACATCGAGGGGATGTATCACTTTCTAGGAATTATGATGGGACCACAGCATTACATATTGCTGTCTGTGAAGGCAATGTTGAGATAGTCAAGTTCCTTTTGGATCAAGGGGCTGACGTTGACAAACCAGACAGGCATGGTTGGAAGCCAAGAGCCCTAGCAGATCAACAGGGACATGAGGAAATTAAGGTTATGTTTCAGTCTATTGTGGAGCCTAAGGCTCCAACTCCTGCCTCTTCGACTCCTGAGAGGTCTGTTGGAAGAGTTACAAGAACTGGGAGGAACCATGGAAGTCACCATGCAAGAGTAACAATCAGTTGCCCTGAAAAGGTTGAAATTGCAGGAAAAGTTGTGCTCCTACCAGGAAGCTTCAAGGAGCTACTTGAGATTGGAGCCAATAAATTTGGTATCACTCCCGCTAGGATTCTGAGCAGGGATGGAGCTGAAATTGATGATCTAGATGTGATTAGAGATGGTGATCATCTTTTGTTTGTCAGTTCTCATAAACCCAGTTCCCGCTCGCCTGATTTTTTGCAATAAGGCATATGATTCTTTGTAATTAATGGAAGCATTCTGCCTCATTTTATAGTTTTCTTTTTCTTGGCTGAGCATGAATGCAACATGATATAAGGAGTTCCAGAAACATTAGCGTATCACCAGTGTATGATAGATAGAAGAATTAGAAGGCTGTAAATATTTCAAGAGAACTTGAATTAAATGGATGAAAGAAAATAATCCATAAACGACTCATCTATTATTTGCTTACAAAAGGCCTCTAAATTTAACACAATCTGTAAAGGGTTTCTTCCGGAGAAAAGACAAGAAAAACAAATAGTGTATTTCCAAGTGAAAGTTTAAAAAAGTTACATAGGTCATTCTCTTTATAAATTGAATATTATTTCTAACATAATATTGGTTGTTAGCCTTGTGCATCAAAGAAGCATTCAAAACCAGAAAGCACATAGGAAACTTCCTCACAACTTGCAAGAATTTGATTGATTGTAAGCACTTTTTAAGGTTGACTGGCTGTGGAATTCCAAGCTCAAAAATTTAAAACAGGAACGCAGAAACATGAGGACCCTCCAAGAAAGTTACAAAAAAAGAAAAGAAAAAAGGAACTTAATTCCTTAAACCCACATGTGAACTTGAAATAATCACCAATCCCATTCCAAAACACTCAACAGTACCCTTGACCTCTACCACAAAGACCTTTCTTCTCATCATCATCTCCCTCTAGCTTCATCAATTCACCTTCCCAGACAATCACAGCAAATTGAATCATCAACAGCTCTTAATTATATCAGACCCTGTACAAAAAGATACACTCATGTAGTCAGATCGAGTTAAAAACGATTTAAAACGAATAAAAATGAGATACCCAGGTCTCCCATGATTTTCATCTTGAAGTTTTAGAATTGATAATTCTTACAAAACTTCAGTTGTTTCATTTTTCACTTGTCGTTATACGAATGAATAGTGACAGCAAGCTGGCTCAGAGGAGTGAGAGACAATCACACGCTGCAAAAAAAAGAAGCGAGATGAACGAAGAGTAAGAAGATAATGAACTCACTGTTGAAACTCTATATTAATGAGACCAGCAGATGAATTAGCAATGGTCTGGAAAGCTTTCTGAGAGAGAACCATGGTGGTTCCGGTGGCCGACGGAGTCGACACGGTGGAAACCGCATAATCAACGATCTTGATCTGAATGATCTGCTGCGGAATACAAGTCCTGGGTTGCTCTGCACTTATGCATCTTACCAAGTACTGCCTCCCACACGCTGCCCCGTTGTCCCATATTCCATCTCCGGCCGCCGCAAACAGGTTGCTCGAAGGGAACTGTAAGGCCTCGCCGCCGTAGCATCCCGTCGCTATATATCATATATAGAAGTAACTTGATTAGATAATCTTAATATCATCAAATATAAATACAGTAAATCAATTCAGAGAATGGTTAGAGAAGTTTGAAATGAACATACGTAAATATGGAGGAGAATATTGAGCGGCAGTTCCAACATCAGCAAAGGAAGGGAAGGGAAGATTGATGAAGAAGGTGATGAATAAGCAGAGGAGCAATTGTGTATGACGTCTGCACATTGTTGGAGACGCAATGATAGGAAGGAAATGGGAGAAGGCAATACAATATGAGGGGGGAAAAAAGCAACTTTTGACCTAAAAAAGCGAAAAAAAGAAGAAAAAAGGACAGCACTTTCTTAATTGCTCATCCAAAAGGATTTTCTGCATTCACGCGGGTTAAAACTGAAGATTTAAAGGCATTTTATTTTATTTTATTTGTGATTGGGTGAGCATTTTACCTTGATTTTTTTCCTTCTAAAGTATGGATGCCCTCTTATTAAAAGTAATTCTATTTGAGGGACTATCAAGTTTTAATGTGGACACTTCTCCAGTAAAATTCGAATCTTGATTTGCCGTGTTGTGAGGAACTAACATGTTCCGCTAGACCCAATCCATTGGTCATTTTATCATGATATTTTAATAAATTTTTGTCTTCGTTATCAAATTTGACTCGGGTCCACGCGCTTGAGCCGTACAGTAATATCTTAAATCGAAGGACCAAGGGAATGAAAAGAGATGGAGAATGATTACTTCTTTAATTTCATCTGTGAAAATAATTTAACAAACATAAATATCATCAACTAAGGTCCATAATTAATCAAACATATCTTTTTATTTTTTCGATACGAGAGTTTAAATCTTTAACCTCTACTCATATTTTAATGAACCTCATTCCACTCTTATAATTTGATATATCTCAACACAAATAGTTTAATAATTTCGAATAAGCGCAAAGTATGTAGAAAATCACATCAGATGATTTTAGGGCTCAACATTAGATTCAACTTCATTTACACAATTACAAAAGAATGGCAGTAACACCATATTCACTTTAAATGGCTGTTTAAAAATTAAATTTTTATTCTTTGGATCGTAGTATTAGTATTTGAATTCAAATTTTTTTTATAGGTCGGCTTCCTATTTAAGAAAGCATGTACCCTTCTGAACCGAAGAACAAGGACACATTTTGGTCAAAAAGAAAAACAACTGATGTTTTCCACTTTGCTTCTTTCATTATTTAAATTAAAAAATCACCACAAATAAATTCTCACCGTAAAACATATAAATCCATGAATACAAAGATCATGTATCGAACTTGCAAAATCGCATTTCTTAAGATATTGTAGAAAGACTTGCATTAAAAAGCGCAAGCTAACACAAGAAGATATAGTATACGATCAAAAAAATGAAATTAAACTCGAAATATAAAATTTGAAAATTTTGAGAAATGAGAAATATTCAACTATCCAACGTGCAGAGAGGTGCTGGCCAAAAACTCAAAAGTCCAAGGAAATTAATTAAAGAGGCATAACCTCCCACCAGCCCCTTTGACTTTGTCGGCTTCATGGATTAAATGCCCCCTGGACAAGCATAACTGCCCCGTGATTGGGGAGTCATAAAGCAAAATGCAAAATATGAGCATCCCCACCAGCCTTTGCTGTTCGCAATCCCTGCAATCCCTGCCGACTATATATCTCATGATTCTAACTTATGTATTAATTTGTTTGGTCACTCTGGCCATGTGTGTGCTGGCGAAATTTACATGTAAATTACCCTTTTGAGCATAATGCTCAGCACCTCCAAACTTACTATCTGCATCCTAGTCGAAAACCATAGGTTGAATTCTCAGCCAAAGAAGGGACCCATAGTGCTGAAAAGCTTTGAAAAAGATAAATCATAATTCAGTACACAAGTTTTGTGAGCAATACAAGCACTGTGAAAAAACGGCGAAGTATGTAAACTGGAAGCAGGCCTCAGGTGTATGTCTTTCTGTTCATCTAGCCAGAGAACGCATAACGGATACATTGAAATACAAATCACTTCCACAACTTCCGCAACGACATATTTTTCTCGGTTTCCTTTTTCATGACCTTGGCTACAGCCATCTCAAAATCTTCCTGCGTTACGTGGACCCTCCTCTCCCTCAAAGCAAACATTCCAGCTTCTGTGCACACCGCCTTTAAATCCACAAGAAAATTCAATATCAGTTCCAACGGGACACAACTTGAAAGAAAAGCATTGATTTGTCATAGACAACACATCAGAGTTGCCTTTTAACGCTAGAGGTTTTGATATATTTTTTGTTTTTGGTGGATCCTTCTACAGTCATTCTATCTGCATCATTCGTTGGACAAGCCAAACGTTATGATTGAATTGCTTAACGAAATCTCCATTGTTTAAACACTCTTGTTATGCACTACATGTCACAATATTCCAAGTCTCGACCAGTTCTATCATCACCTAACTATCCTCAAGACAAACTAACACTTCTATTTTACAACTGTTGAACTACAATTGTCCATCTCTGTTAGTGTTTCGTTGAGCTTTTCTCTGTCACCCAAAATTCAGAAGTAACACTAGTGAAATACAACTCACAGTTTGAAAACTCACTTTAATATTATAAAATTAGTAGCCCCCATTTAATCAATCCATCCCAAAAATATTGATGGTGTATATGTTAAAAAGTTCAAACTCGCATTTCTTTCCAAGGCTTATTCCAATCCCAACTTATAACGACCACTCAAATTTAACTCAATCTCTCACTATTCTGTTCAAAATTCAGGCTTTATTTAGGCTAACAGATAGAGTAATCATTGAAAACACTAAGTTTTCGGCAACTACCATCCACTGCTCAAACAGGGACCGTTATTAAGACCACCGACTGGAGAACTTCAAAATTCAAAAGATGAAATGCAAATAAAGAGGGGAAAAAATACCTTGAGCTCTGCACCAGAAGCACCATTCATCTTCTCAGCAATTTTCTTCAGGTCAATCCCACGCATCAAATTCATCCTTCTAGAGTGGATTTTCAATATATCCAACCGAGACTACCAGGAATTCAAAACAAGACCATGTTAAAAAAGAGGAGTATTTATGAAATGCAGTGTATTCACCCTTTCCTCAAAACATAAACATGAAAATGATATCATGAAGGCATCAATGCATACCTCCTCATTAGGGTTTGGAAATTCAATCTTCCTGTCTATCCGTCCAGGTCTAAGGAGTGCTTGATCCAGGATATCAATACGATTTGTTGCCATCAAAACCTGTAAGTTAGAGATCTCTTCAGAACTTGGCCAGAAACTATTCAATTAAATGAATAAGCTGGGTAAAATGATTAGATATGTCCTATACATTACAGAAGCCTCATATATTCTGCACAGAAACAACACTAATCACCTTTACTAATTGGTAGTTATAATATTATAGCACCATTCTGAAGCATCACGCAATACCTTGATCTTATTTGAAGCTTCAAATCCATCTAGCTGGTTGAGAAGCTCCAGCATAGTGCGCTGCACCTCACTATCACCATTACCACTTCCAGATTCCATTCGAGCAGATCCAATGCTATCAATTTCATCCATGAAGATAATAGATGGAGCATGCTCCCTACAAAAAGAACATCGTTCTCGCATAAGACATATGTCAACAGCCAAGCCAGTCCAATGATGACAAAAAATAAATGAATCACACAACACTTTGCGATATTCACACCACATTCCATTCATACAAAACATTCAGCCTTAGAATTGTCTTCAACCCACATATCAAGAAGCCAAGCAGACCGCATTCTTTATTTGTTCTCTATGGTGGTAGGATGACAGATGAAAGAAAGGTAAGAATTCTCAGTAGAGACAAACCTGGCCATAACAAAAAGTTCTCTGACCATTCTGGAACCTTCCCCAATGTATTTCTGAACCAACTCAGAACCAGAAACCCTGATGAATGTGCAATCAGTATGATGAGCCACAGCCCTAGCCAACAACGTCTTTCCTGTGCCAGGAGGTCCATACAGTAGGACACCCTGTCGCATGCAAAGGAGAGTCAGTAAATAAGCAACCCAAAGAGGGTGCAAGCATGAATGAGAGAAGAACCAAGCTCAAGCAACTATTCTTGGATAAACAGAGGGTATGAAATTTCTTAATAACTTTAGCACAACGTGCTACCTTTGGTTGAGCTATTCCAAGACTTTCAAACAGTTCGGGATGTTTGATCGGCAGCTCAATGACCTGTGAAAATAATTTCCAAACAGGAAATTAAGAAACAGTTAAACTGGTTTGCAGAATAAATGATGCCATTATATATGCATACACATTCAACTACAGGTTCAGAAAGTGATACAGAGAGAAGTGGTGCCACATAAACGTATAAAAGGATAAAAAGATATCAAACATCAAACCAAAAAGATGTAATAATCTTTGGGTGCTGAAAGTGAGGGCTAAGAGACCGCACCTCTTTTATCTCTTTGATTTGCTGGTCCAGTCCACCGATCATGTCATAGGTAGAATCAGGGACTTTTTCAACTTTCATCAGGTTGACCAACGGGTCAACTTTGCTAGGCAAGATCAAGTGAAGAACATAACTGTCATTGCGGAGGGCCACCCTGGTTGATGGAGTAATCTTTGTAATGTCAATACTTTTATCAATATCAACAACATATTTTCCTTCTGGGTGAACCTGAAGAAAATTGGAAGAATTAGTGCTTCTGCTTTATTTTTATTCTATAGTGGCAATCTCATGCATAAACGAACATAAATTTCGTAGGATAAAATGATTAATTTACAACTGCCGATATTGGAGAAACACAACAAATGAAGCGTGCTCCTAGACATCACTTTTTTTGCTGTTCTCTTTGCATAATTGACCAAAGAAGCCATCAATCAGCCGGAACACCTATGCGGCAACAATTTTTTTGGTGGTGCCAATCATGTTGCAACAATTAAAGAGTACAGATGTCACACCTAATCCATAATGAACATTCCTTGTTCCATAATACATAAGATGGTTAATCATATTTCCAAGGACAGTACTGATAACTATCATGAAATAGGTTATCGGACATGTTATTTTGGAAAAATAAACTGATTGATGAAAACATCATATGTGAATGCAGATTTGTCCTTCGCATCCTATTCTAATAATTGAAGTGCACCTAAAGTTGTGCACACTCTGCCAGTAGGTAACTTGTTACTTTTACTCCCAAACTCAGCTGAATGACTGCACATATCATATTGACCGCCACCGGAAACCCTATTACAACAATCTTCTCAAGTCTACCGTGATTGATGGTTTCAAATCCATGCTCTATGTTATTTATGTGCAGAGATAAAAATGAGCAGTAGATACTTGACTCAGCAGCAAAAATAGTCGAAGAAATCTTTCTAGCAATGAGTAATGCAGTTAAAAGAAAATATAAATCAATGCAAGTTACGGCAGTTAGGAAGATACCAAAGCTTCAAAACCACATATCGCTATTAAAAAAAAAAGGGCTTCAAAACCACACCCCTAATGAAATAAGAGAGAGCGTAGAAAGCACCATCAGCTTACCTTTACTAAAACTTTGTTTTTCCCCATAACTTTGACAACTTCACCGACATATGATCCGGGCTCCTGAAGAAGCTGCAGTTCTTCCCGAAGCATTCTCACTGTCCCAATTTTGCATTGTTAGGAAAATCTTAATCAACCAATAGTTCGGGAACAGAGAAAGCAGCGCAGACAGGCCATCAAAACCAAGAATTTACAAGTGACATGAATAACAATCACCCTCTATAAGAAAGACCAGTTAAGGCTTATATGATTTAGCTGAATTTCCCCCACCAAAATCATAAAAAAAATTATTTCATGGCGAATCAAGTCTGACATAAAGCCCGCCCCCTCCCGTCTCCCCACTTAAAAGAAATCTAGACCCCGGATTTTATCGAAAAGTTGACCCGGAAACAAAAGAAATCATAAAATCAAGAAGCAAACAATTTCAAATTTAGGGTTAGGGTTAGTGCAAGAAACTCACCACGGGAATTTAACTCATTTCGCTGAGCCTCAAGACGGTTGAGGTTATGGGTCTTCTGGCGGACCTGAAGCTGAAGTTCGTGGATGTGCTGGAGATAGTATTGACGAAGACCCTCTCCCTGCTTGGCGGGCTTCGCCGAGCACGTCTCTTCCGGTGCCGCCTCCGGTTGCTTAAATTCCACTCCGGCCGTTGCCATTGGAAACCTTAGAGTGACTAGGGATCGCTCGATGTGCAAATCCGGTCACTGATGTACCTCTCCTGTATTCTTTATTTCTTGGTTACTGTCTCCCTTATATTCGTTTCTTGTGCTTGATAAACAAGGAACGTCGGTGACCTCCGTCGGGCCCGATAAAGTAGTAATAATTTTTCAGCCGTGAAAAAATATAAAAAAAATTGAAACTCTAGACTGGCGATGGGACGGAGGGAGAAAATTTTAATAAGTTAATAATTTATAATATTACTTTATATTTTTAATATAAAATCTAACTGATTAATTTAAAAAAATTAATTAAATTAGATATTTGTTTTTAAAAAGTATTGTTTTTTTGAGGATTTTCTTATTAATTATGTATATTAATTAAAATTATCAGTTGATAAAACCTTTAAAATATATAATAACTATAAAAACTATTTTAAAAAAATAAATAAATATGAAAAACAAAATAGATTGAGTTATTATATTTATGATCAAATTAAAAATCAAATAAATTTTTATAATAAGAAATGGAGGTAGATACATTATAATATTTTTATTCTCAAGTATAAATAATTATTACAGTGAAAGACTGGATCGAATAATTATTTGGAAGAGTTACATTTTATATGAACCAACTTAAATTTTAATTGTTCCGGGATTTTATTTTGTGATATAGTGATATATATCTTACTCCTCTAATCTTATTTATAACACACACAAAAAAGATTTTTTTATTTTATTTATAAATCATTTTATTAAATTTTTAATATGAATATACTATTTTATCTTTTATTTATCATAGCGTAGATAATTATTTTTTTTAAAAGATGCATATATTAAATAAAAATGAAATTAAAAAATTGTTATATTTTAATAGATAGTTAATATATTTTAAAGTTTTTCATAACTTATATAAAACATGTTAAAAATATCTTATAAATATGAGTAGAGGAGTATTTCTTAACCTTTTTTAGATATAGCTTATGTGTTCCAACTTTTATGAATATAATGGGTATGTGATTTATACATAAAAAAAACTTAAATTTTAATTTGGATAAAAAAATTCAGTAATTTATTATTAGCTCATTTTCCCTTGGCTGCGAACCCGCCGAGATCATTAAAAATTAAAATTCCTCCCTCGCCCTCTCTTCCAATTAACCAAACAGGAACTTGTTGACTGACCTCCACGACCACGCCCTTGCATTTCCCCTCCATTAAAAATCCTCCACTTTCTTGACCAAACACACGCTTACCTTGCCCAGCTCTGTTCTCCTCTGCCCTTTATGTGCCCTTCTCCAACTTCGTTTGACAATTGTAGGCCTTCTTTACAAATGGTTCTTCCCTAGCCTCCATTCCTCTTGGAGCTCTTCTGGAGGGTTAGGATTTAGGAGGTGTGGATACATGTATATTACCATTTTTCGGCTCCCAGTTTCAGTGAATCGGCGTTCCTCACTCTTTATACCGCCATTTTCTGACTTAATCTTCGTATGATTGAGACAGCATTTGCGTGTCAATCAGTCACCGAGAGCTGTACTCATCTGTTTTACCAGTGATTGTTTCTTCTGAACCTTCTTTTGGTTGCGATTACTAATATTTTTCAAAGATTTAGGGTTTATTTGAATCTCATACTTTGGACAAATAGTAATAACAAGGAAAGAAAGAAAGCACAGAATTTATTGGGAGCAGAATCTTTTCATTTTTAGCTCATTTTACTCATAAACTACGCTAGAAGTTACTGGATTATCGTCTTCAAGAATGGACAAGAAAAAGGTGGCGGTACCGCTTGTTTGCCACGGCCATTCCCGGCCTGTAGTGGATCTCTTTTACAGTCCTGTTACGCCCGATGGGTTCTTCGTTATCAGTGCAAGCAAGGGTATAGTCTCTTCAGCCATGGCCTTATCTTCCTTGCTTCAAAATTCAGCTTTTGAACTTATTCTTGTTGGCTGCACTTGTTTTGTCAGCAATGGAAATACGAAACTGGTCTTGATTGTTATTTTTCCTGTGATTTGATGCGTCTGACTCATTTTTTGTTCTATTCTATGGTCGCTCTCAGACTTCACTGGGTCAATATTTTGTCGCTTATAATCCAAAACAGAATTGTTTATGTTAAAGGATGAGAAGTTGAGTTGCTTAAACTGCTAGTGCTTATATTAAAATCTCATATAGGATGCTGGCATTTCCGCACTAACGTATCGAACTTGCGCGTGTTATTTATTGAACTTTTTTAATATATATTTTCACTGTGATATATGTGAGCTTTTCTTGTGGGGTTTAGATTCTAGTCCTATGCTCAGAAATGGAGAGACTGGAGATTGGATTGGAACATTTGAAGGGCATAAAGGTGCGGTATGGAGTTGCTGCTTGGATACAAATGCTTTACGGGCTGCCACTGCCTCTGCTGATTTCTCATCGTATGTAATTGCTTTTTTCAATTTTTGCTTGCTCATTATGAAGCTCACTGTTCTGCGCATCTTCAATAATGCTAATTGTCTTGTTAGCTTACGGGGATCTGGATCACCTGCCTTGGCTAGAGTCTCCATTGAAATTAATTGATTCACTTCGGATGCATCTGAATAAGTTCTGCATAAGCATATACACATCACCAGTGGTTGGCCAGTTGTCCGTTCTGCTGAATCAATCCATTGTTCCTATCAGAATTGTCAGCATCCCGAGTTTTCCTCACCTTTTCTTTTTTTTATTTTACTTCAAAATTTGAACACTGAAAATTGACTCCCGTATGTTTGCTTTTGTCTTTTTATACAATGGTAGCAGTATTTGACTGAATCAAGTTTTCCCTTTTGATGCCCCACAAAAAAAAAAAAAATGTTCTCTTTTATCTCCTTTTGTTTTTAATGTACTCAACAAAATGCAACAGGGGTAGTTATAGGCTTTGAGCAATAAATGCATTGAGCCGTGCTGAACCAATGGTAGATGACATTCACCAATGCGAGGATGCTAGGTCATGTTATTTTGTTTTCATGTGCAGAAAAGTTTGGGATGCATTAACGGGAGATGAATTGCACTCATTTGAACATAAGCACATTGTTCGCGCATGTGCCTTTTCTGAGGTAGACTGGATGCTTTATAATGTTATTTTTGTCTACTTTCAAGCAAGGTCTTTATTAGCAATTCATAATTCTTAATTTTAGAAGTTCTTTCTTCCTGTCTTCTCCCATCACACCATCATCCTTCTTGACAATTAATGTTTAGTGGTCCCTTTTTCTTTAATACTCTTGAATTTGTTTTATCCAAAGAATAAACTCTGGAGATTAATTGATGCCATAAACACTTGTCATCTGTCTGGACCTAGACTACGAAGGCGTTATTGCTCACATGCATTACTATTTTATAACTGGGAGCAGGATACGCACCTTTTACTTACTGGGGGATTAGAGAAAGTTCTCCGAATCTATGACCTGAATCGTCCTGATGCACCGCCCAGGGAAGTTGAGAAGTCCCCGGGTTCAGTCAGGACAGCTACATGGCTTCATAATGACCGGACAATATTAAGTTCTTGTACTGATATGGGAGGTGTCAGGTACATTGCTCGTTTAGTCATGTGATGCTGAAGCTTCTCTTAGATTCTATTTGTTTCTTGTTGCAATTTCTGAATTTTGATATCAATCATCAATAATATGTTGGGCTGATTTTACTCTACAATTCTAAGGCTATGGGATATAAGAAGTGGTCAGATAGTTCAGACACTTGAGACCAAGTCATCTGTGACCAGTACTGAAGTGAGTCGGGATGGTCGTTACATTGTAACTGCGGATGGCTCTACTGTTAAATTTTGGGATGCAAATTAGTAAGTTGTAAAAATAATTGGTTGATTTCTTCAGAATATTTTATATTTTATGCTCAGGATGTTACTCTTGCCTTTCAGCTATGAGCTGGTGAAGAGTTATGATATGCCTTGCACCGTTGAATCAGCTTCGTTGGAACCTAAGTGCGGGAATAAATTTGCTGCTGGGGGAGAAGATATGTGGGTTCGTGTTTTTGATTTCCATACTGGCCATGAGATTGGTAAGTGATCAAACATCTGTCACTCCCTAATATGTGGTCCGCTGCCTGCTTGAAGCTTTTGTAGGGTCATTTCACTTTTCCAACTTGTGGTTTGCAGTCTGCTCAGAGGGTTTAATATTTCGGTTTATTCTATAACTGTTGTGATTTATGTATAATTATTGCAATGATCTCTATCTGGATGACAGCATGCAACAAGGGCCACCATGGTCCTGTGCACTGTGTCCGTTTTTCTCCTGGGGGAGAATCATATGCCTCAGGATCGGAGGACGGAACCATAAGAATATGGCAAACTGTCCCTTTGACATATGATGAATCGGCGTCTATATCTGCAAATGGATCAGTTGCAAATGTGAAGGTTAATGCAGACGAGGTTTCACGCGAGATTGAGGGTTTGCATGTTGCGGATGAGGGGAAATCCAAAGAAAAGGAAGAGGCTGGGGAGGAATAAGTGATCCGAATAAGGACGGTCCTTTTGACTGGCAGGCTTATCATATCATAGACAAGTGCCAACTTCTAGGCAGGTTTGGTAAGCTGAATTCTGTAAATTTTTGTTTACATCAGTCAGTTACTGAATCAAGTGACATTGTTCCATCCGGTTTGCAATATGCTCGGCGGTTTTCACATTTAACTTTTCTATTGGGGTTTCTGGCGTATGGGGAATAACCTAGTATTCCAATTGTTAAAAATTAATAACATGGTAATGGCTTGAATATTTTGATTGGCGTTGGACCTAATCAGGATTTTCTGAGTTGGACATGCTTTAGCATTCCTGGGGCCATCGCTTTGTAAATTGGAAGGCACGTTCGTTAATACAAAAGTCAAAGAATTTTGCAAAGAGGGATCAACTACCTATACAGATAACTTGTTACATAACTCATCAAAAAGTAAAGCCTTACACACCAGAAGATGAGTATCTACAGGAACATTTTCATGAATGAGATGGTGACTCCAGTGAACGAGTCAATGAGCGCAGCAATTTGCTTTCCTGTCTTTCATAAGCGGATTACTTTGGGAATGTCCCCCGTTGATAAGGTTCAAAGCTTCTATAGAATCAGTGAAAATCGATGCTGGAAGAAGAGGATGCACAAAAAATTAGTTGAAAATACTGAATGCTAAAGATGCCGGATGCGTTTTGGTAAGAAGTTGATATGCTCTGTTCGTTCCTGAGAAGTGGTCTCTAGTCATGGGTATCGCTTTATTTGTTATTTCTCTTTGATTGATCACCGAATAAATATACATTTGACATTTTATAAAAAGAAAATATTAACTAACTTTCTTATTTGATGAATATTGGATATAAATAACAAAAATGTAAATATTACGTTTGAAAAATATATGAATTATGGTACGAATAATATTAATAAAATTTAAATAGTGAAAATTCGAACAACAAATTCGCATGGAACAATTTCAAAACTTTAAATGATTAGTTTTGGTTATGAATTGATGGCGATAATTGGAATTTATAAATTTGTATAGGTTTTGATTACATAAGGAACTTAAAAACCTTATGTCCCGTTTAGTATAATGAAAAAGTTTTTGATGAAAATGGGAATGGAAGTGGAAGAAGAGGAAATGAGTTAAATGTGTCTTTGGTATGTCAATGGAATTTATGCATTAATTTTATTTAATTGATATATTTATATTATGAAAAGCCTAAAATACACCTAAATTTTATATGAGAAAGACCCAACCCATCGAACACTCCTGTTGCAAAAGTCTCCCAAGCTTCACCGCCATCAATGGTGGCCATTAGCAGCAGATTCAAGAGCAGGAAAAAAAAAAAAAGACGCGCACAAAAAACGACCAAATCAAAGAAGCTTTATGAAGAATAAAGACAAAAATTGCAGAGAAAAGATCGAAAAAGCTTTGTACTTTTATATTAGCCGCCATTGCCATCTTGATTTGCTAGTGATGATGAAGAACCCATCATAAAACAAGAATGAATCAAAATGCATGTGTATTGCAAGTGGATGCCGGGGGAGTGATTCCAGACTTGAAATGCATCTAACGTGTGTGAAGATTGGTGCCGGAGACAGCGAGGCGATCAGTGTCGGAGACAACGACGACAAAAGTGGGGCAACTAGTAGACATAAGTATCGAAAGTGATAAACATGCAAGCACAAAGTTGAGGGTAGAGATGGTAAGTGAGGAAAGAACTGAGGTTGGAACTGAGTTCCATCTAGTATGTTACTTTTTTCAATTTTTGATGAGCACACTCGAAGATAATACTGCCTCCGATCCTAATTATAAAAGCTAGCTGACTAATTTGAGAAGATTAAAAAAAAATTAAGTTAGTTATTGGTAATAAATAAATGTTATCTTTCCTAAAATATCCTTGCTAATCAAATGTATTGGCTAGAACTACTTTTGTTAAAAGGATTACTTTAGAGAAAAAATATATAAATATGAGAGATAAAGCAGATTGTGATCTTATATTTATGACCAAAATAAAAGTCAAATAAGGTCTTATATTAAAAACTGGAGGTAGTATCATTTAGAATTTTTTATTTAAGTTTTTTATATAAAAAATTAATTTTATAAAATATACACTGTTTTTTTTTACCGAAATAATACACTATTTTATACAGCATCACACACATCATTAATTAACGTAAACATTTTATTACATTTCATCCCCATCAAATTTCATATCTTACCTTGTTTTTAACATCGATTCTAAAATAGTTTTGCTCCAAAAAAAACATCGATTCTAAAATAAATTTTGTTCAACAATAATCATAATTTATGACAGGTTTAATATATAAAATCAACAATTCTCTTTTTTTTTTTTTTTGGGTAAGATAACATCAACAATTCGTTAACAATGGGATGGGAACTATGAAGTTGGGTCTAGGCCCAAAGTCATTCAGGCATATGCAAATGAGATCTCTTCTTGGAATGCTCGTACGACATCGTACGATTCCCCCCCATTTGGGGGTCCCACCCCGACGAGAGATCACCGTATAAAAGAGCAGATCCAAAGCCATCGTTTCCTCGCGCCTAGCCCTTGCCTTGCCCGGCTCTGTTCTCTTCTTCTCTGTACCCCTCTCCAACTTTGTTTTTTATTTGTAGGTTTTCTTTATGTTTGGTTTCTTCTTAGTCTCCCATTTCTCTTTTAGATCTAAATTTCTCAGAGCTTTTTTGGAGGGTTAGGAGGTGTGGATTCATGTATACTTCCCAGTTTCGGTGAATCAGCGTTTCCCACCTGTGTTTTTAATACCGCCATTTTCTAACTCAATCATCGTATGATTGAGTCAGCGCTTGAGTTTTAATCACTCACCGAGAATTGTATTTCTTATTTTTACAAGTGATTGTTTCTTCTGAATCTTCTTTTGGTTGCAATTACTAATAGATTTTTATAGATTTAGGGTTTATTTGAAACTCATACTTTTGATAAGAAAACAAAAATAATAATAAGGAAAGAAAGACAGTATGTATAGGGGGGGAAATAGTCTCTTCATTTTTAGCTTATCTTACTCGTAAACTAGGCCAGAATTTACTGGATAATCTTCTTCAAGAATGGATAAGAAAAAGGTCGCTGTTCCGCTTGTTTGCCACGGCCATTCCCGGCCTGTAGTCGATCTCTTTTACAGTCCTGTTACGCCCGATGGATTCTTCCTTATCAGTGCAAGCAAGGGTAAGGTCTCTTCAGCCATGGCCTTATCCTTTTGGCTATGAAATTCAGCTTTTGAACTTATTCCTGTTGGCTGCATTTGTTTTGTCTGCAATGGAAATACGAAATTGGTTTTTATTGTAATATTATGCACGTGTTCAAATTAGAATCCTGGATATGATGGTGGCGTATCTGCACTAATGTATCGAACTTGCACACATTGTTCATTGATTTTTTTCCCCAAAAAAAAAAAAAATTCACCATGGTGATATGTGAGCTTTTCTTGTGGGGTTTAGATTCTAGTCCTATGCTCAGAAATGGAGAGACCGGAGATTGGATTGGAACATTTGAAGGGCACAAAGGTGCGGTATGGAGTTGCTGCTTGGATACAAATGCTTTACGGGCTGCAACTGCCTCTGCTGATTTCTCATCGTAAGTAATTGCCTTTTTCCCCACCTAATTTTGGCTTGCTCATTATGAAGCTCACTGTCCTATGCAGCTTTGGTAATGCTAATTGTCTTGTTAGCTTATGGGGATCATCTCAATAAGTTTAGTTAATTTTTTTCAATGTACACATGTCACTAGTGCCCCCTGTTGTTGGCTAGTTGTGCCTTGTGCCTGCTGAATTAATCCAGTTGTCTTATTAGGGTTGTCAGCAGCTCAAGTTTTCTTCGCCTGCTCTTTTATTTTATTTTGAAGTTTGAAAATTGAAACTTGATTCCTTTATATTTGCTTGTCTTTAATAGAATGGGAGCGATATTTGGCTGAAACAAGTTTACTCTTTTGATGCCCCGCGAAAAAAGAAGTTCTCTATTTTCCCCCCTTTTGTTTTAGTATTTCCAAGAAAATGCAACAAACGTTGTTCTAGGCTTTGAGCTATAAATGCAGTGCTATGTTGAGCGAATGATAGAAGATGCTCATCAATGTGAGGTTGCTGGATTATGCTATTTGTTTTCATGTGCAGTAAAGTTTGGGATGCATTAACAGGAGATGAATTACACTCATTTGAACACAAGCACATTGTTCGTGCGTGTGCCTTTTCTGAGGTAGATTGGATGCTTTATAATGCTATCATTGCCGATTTTGCCTTGTTATTATGATCATTGTTGATTGTTTATGCGGATGGAAATATGAAATGTAAGTTACAATGGTCCAGAATGATTCGACATGCCAGCACAACTAAAAACCCTAGGGTGGGGGGAAATAAGAACCTAGAAGTAGCGTTATTGATGTGTCTGCCTAGAATTGAGTAAATTAGAATCCTAATCCTAATTTCTCAAATAGCTATCTACCGGTCATATATTTTAACGTTGTATCTCTACTGTACCAACATATTTGAAAATTTAGCCTTTGCAGAAGTTTTGTCTACTTTCAATTGAGGTTTTTATTAGTAATTCCTGTTACTTAATTTTAGAAGCTCTCCCTTGCTCCCTTTTTTCCTTTCCTGATTTCTCCCTCTGCGTTTTTAATAGTGATTCCTGTTACTTAATTTTAGAAGCTCTCCCTTGCTCCCCTTTTTTCCTTCCTGATTTCTCCCTCTGCACACCATTAGCCTTCTTGACAATAGATGTTTTGTGGCTTCTTTTTGTTTAACACTGCTGAATTTGTTCTATCCAAAAAACGAACTCTGTACATTAATTGATGCCACGAACACTTGTTATCTGTCCGCACCAAGACTACAAATGCTTCGTTGTTCACATGCATTACCATTTTATACCTGGGAGCAGGATACGCACCTTTTGCTCACTGGGGGTGTAGAGAAAATTCTCCGAATCTATGACTTGAATCGTCCTGATGCACCACCCAGAGAAGTTGATAAATCCCCTGGTTCAGTCAGAACTGTTACGTGGCTTCATAGTGACCAGACAATATTAAGTTCTTGTACTGATATGGGAGGTGTCAGGTACATTCCTCATTTAATCATGTGATGCTGAAGCTTCTCTTGGATTGTATTTGTTTCTTGTTGCAATTTCTAAATTTTGATATCAACATCAAATGCTATATTAGACTGACTTTAGTCAATAATTCAAAGGTTATGGGATATAAGAAGCGGTCAGATAGTCCAGACACTTGAGACTAAGTCATCTGTGACCAGTGCTGAAGTTAGTCAGGATGGTCGTTACATCGTAACGGCAGATGGTTCTACCGTTAAATTTTGGGATGCGAATTAGTACGTTTTAAGCCTAGTTGGTCAATTTGTTCAGAATATTCTTTATTGGATGTTCAGCATGTTACTCTTGCCTTTCAGCTATGGGTTGGTGAAGAGTTACGATATGCCTTGCACCGTTGAATCAGCGTCGTTGGAACCTAAGTGTGGGAATAAATTTGTTGCTGGGGGAGAAGATATGTGGGTTCGTGTTTTTGATTTCCATACTGGCCATGAGATTGGTAAGTAATCAATCAATCTTCACTTCCCATTGTGTTGGCTGCTGCTTGCTTGAAGCTTTTGTGCGGTTATTTCACATTTCTGACTTGTGGTTTGCAATATGCTTAGATGGTCTAATATTTCAGTTTATCCTTTTAACTTGTGTGATTTATTTATAATTATTCTGATAATGTGTCTCTGGATGACAGCGTGCAACAAGGGTCACCATGGTCCTGTGCATTGTGTACGTTTCTCTCCTGGGGGAGAATCATATGCTTCAGGATCTGAGGATGGAACCATCAGAATATGGCAAACTGGTCCTTTGACCTTTGATGAGTCGGAATCTATATCTGCAAATGGATCACTTGCAAAGGTGAAGGTTAATGCAGACGAAGTTTCACGCAAGATTGAGGGTTTCCATGTTGCAGATGAGGGGAAATCCAAAGAAAAGGAAGAGGCAGGGGAAGAATAACGATCCTAATAAGTGTGGTCGTTTGGATCAGCGGGGTTATCATGCCATAGACAAGTACCTACTTAGACAGAGGTTTCGGAACCTAAATTTTGTAAATTCTTGTTTACATTGGTCATTAAATGAATCAAGCGACCTTGTTCCATCCAGTTTGTACTTTGTAATATGTTTGATGTTTATTTACTTCAACTTTTTTAACGGGGGTTTTGCGGCGTAAGGGAATAACCTAGGTTTTCTTCGGCATGTTTGTTATAACCACCAATGAAAGAGTGTTTCTTTTGAAGTAATGAGATTGAGGATGAAGATGGGAATAAGATTACTTCCTTTGGTATGTCTCAAATAAGATAGGGACTTTTTTTTCATTACTATGTTTCGTGGAGTAAAAATATAATGGAAAAGGAAATGATATTATTGCACTTGGCCAAAGTACCCTTCATCATAAGATATTATTTATAAAATAAACCAGTCAAGATTTGAGATATTTGGCATTAATGTTGAAGAAATTAATTATAAATTGAGGAATGGGTGTGGGACTCCAACAAGCCAAACGAAGGTTTTGGCTGGCCGTTGTATTTTTCCATTCGCTTTCATTGCCATGCCGGTCGAAATCAGAATTTGTAGATGCGATATGCAGAGCTCTGCAAATACAAGTTCGACTATTTTTTCCCTGGATGGGGAATGGGCACAAATCTGCATTTAGGGAAAATTATTAATGTAATCTCGTAAACTTTAAAGTTATAAGTGAGATTGATTCGCCGAGAGATCTACTAACAGAGTCATTAGCGTTAGCACTTGATAGTTTCTCTGTGACTTGTACGATGACCAAGAGCAAAATGTCAATAAAAACAAAAAGCCCCTGAGGCAGTTTTACGTAATTAAATTATTACTACATTCTATCTTTAACATAAAACTGATTTAATATTTAATTTAGTTCTGAATATAAGATACTAATTCATTTTGTGTCTCATGTTTATTTATTTTTTTTAAGATAGTCTTTGTAATAGTTGCACATATTAAATGTTTTATTAAATGATAGTTCTAACTAATATAATTGATTAGCAAGATATTTTTAGAATAACTAATTTTTTTAATCTATTTAAATTAGTCAACTAGCTCTTGAGAATTGAGGTAATATTTCAAATACAGGGGTCTTGCTGTATTTCTTTTTTAGTCCCTTTTTTATTATCTCTTTCTCATTGGTCGCATGACTAATTAGTTGATAAGATTCAAGTCTAACATATGACATACTCGAGAAAGACTATTGTTTCTGCATATGATTGATTAAGGTTTACTATATTCTGATGCATGACTCTAGCCAAAAGAAGAAAAGAATTGTTAAGCCTTAAAATATTATTTTTTAAATTTAGACCAAGATAAAAAGGATGTTATTTATTTATTTCACAACTTAAACGTTAAACTGAGTTAAGCATTTATAAGTCCTTGATATAAGAACTAGTTAACTAATTTGAGTAGATTAAGAAAACTAATTAAGTTATTTATTTGTAATAAATAGGTGTTGTTTTTCTAAAATATCATTGCTAATCAACAATATGAATTTAGGTCTTATATTTAGGATCAATATAAAAATCAAATAGTATTACCCAAATCATATCAGATACTGCTATTAATTCAAATTAAGCTTTTATTACTTATTTAAGCGAAAATATTAAAGAAAAATGAGCTGAAATACCGAATATGTGATTTGCATTTTGCAGAGTGAGAGAAGGTCAGTCAAGAGGGGCTCTATAAATTGGGTTTCCCATCTCCCTCAAATCCGACGCGTGCGTTCGTAAACTCAGCCCCAGAGTTGAGACTTGAGACCAGCGACCTCTCTCTCTCTAAAATCGGACTTCTCTCTATCCCTTCTTTTGGCGGGAAAAAATGTCGGGGAAGGGCGCGAAGGGTTTAATCACCGGCAAGACCTCGGCCGCCACTGGCAACAAAGACAAGGACAAGAAGAAGCCCACTTCTCGCTCTTCTCGTGCCGGACTTCAGGTCTTTCTCTTTCTTCGTCTAGATCTCCGGCTTTTTGCGATTCCTTTCTTCATTTTGATTTTCTTGAGTTGATGTCTTCTTTTAGCTGTCTGCAATCTGAACATTGTTCCTCCCGGGAAATATGTGATTTATTTGTTCTGGAAATTTATGGGTCTTGTTCGTATGTTTGCTTTGTTCTGTGGAAGTTTCGCTAAATTCTCGCACGGCTAAAAAGTAAAACTTTTTTTTTTTTTTTGTCAATCCATTTCTTCCGTACAATTTGAACAGGGCACAAATTCAACAAGTGAACTCTTGAATTTGAATGTTGATTTTTCATAAATAGTTGCTATTAGGTCCAGGGGGTGCATTTGAAAATGTTGTATTTGTTTGCTTCTTTAGGCTAATCCATCAACTTTCATGCAGCTTACACACACGAGTTGTGCACGCTGTTTCTTATTTCCTTTCCGTTTCAGTGTTCGTGAGTGTACATTCTTAGTAAAGCATCATATTTGCATGACTTATGTCTCTTGGATTCACGACATACATACATTACTTACCTTTTCCTTTCTTTTTTTTTTTTAATGTCTTTGATCGTTTATTCGTAGGAAAGTTTTGGGCCAAGAGAATACTTAGAAAAGTTTGTATGACTGTGATATGAAATACAGAAATAGTCAGCAGACCATTTTTGTTGTTGACTTATGAAGTTAACCATAGCTACATCCTAGGCTCATTTGCCTTAAATGTTATTGGAGGCCCTGCTTTGGGAAGCCCATTCGGTTTGAAGTCATTTCTTGCTAGCTGATGTCAGCAAGTCACCGTAAACATTAACAACTGCCAATTTCACGCGGCCCTTTATGCCTTTTGACTAATTGAGTGGGTATACAGAGGAATATTCTCCATTTGAATGTACTTACTAGTTTGAATTTCTATGGACCATTGCCAAGATAATGAATCTCACCGATCTGATTAAGCAGTAATTAGATGAGTTAGATAGTTTATTGAAATTCATGACCTCATCAGTGATCAAGAGTTTTCAACTCTTTCTGATAGCTTTGCTTTACATGATTCCGCCCCTCCACATTTTGATAGAGGTTTTTTTATTGGAATGGTATTATTTCTGGGAGGCCTAATGCAACTATAGAGCTACTGTGCTCAATAAGAAACATGTATTGAGGAAAGGGCACCAGTTCCTGTGATTAGTGGAAGACCTTTAAACCCTAGTGCTTCTTTCTCAATCAACTTTCACTTTTTTGACGAGGGAGTAAGCTTTTTCAACTGCATTGGACCATTTTTCTTATAGTTCTCAAGGCACCATATGCTCTTGTCTCATCTATCCTTCTATATCTTTGCATATGAACTGCAGTTCCCAGTTGGCCGGATCCATCGGCTGTTGAAGTCGAGAACCACAGCACATGGTAGAGTGGGAGCAACAGCTGCTGTCTACTCTGCCGCTATTTTGGAATATCTAACCGCTGAAGTATTGGAGCTGGCGGGGAATGCCAGCAAGGATCTGAAGGTTAAACGTATCACTCCCAGGCATTTACAGCTTGCGATCCGTGGTGATGAAGAACTCGATACGCTGATAAAAGGAACAATTGCTGGGGGAGGTGTGATTCCTCATATCCACAAATCTCTGATCAACAAATCTTCCAAGGAGTAGGGTACTAATAGATAAGAGGTGCTGAATTAATGGAAATTTCCCCCCTTCTCTATTAGTTGTGACTTTGTTGTATGTTACTGAATCAGCAGAGCCATGCCATTTGTGTTCAGATTCTGTCATGGATAAAATTGACCTCATGGCTCTCAACTTCCTACTTGACTGAACTATGGTAGTTGTGGATAATGTTAATTTTCCTATGACATATTTACGAATTTTCAACTGCATGAATGGCTTGAGTGAGAAGTTAGTCATTAGATGTCGTGTTGTGCTGTGATCGAATTCCCCTTGCCTTGGACCCAAAAAGGAAGGTGGGGTCATCGTATTAGTGGACTCATGATTTAGCTTATTGCATACGTCGGAATGGGGTGATACCTTTCAGATTATTTACTATTACTTCCGGTCCTTAATATAAGACCCTATTTGATTTTTATTTTGGTTCTAAATATAAGACCTCAATCCACTTTGTCTCTTATATTTATACAAGTTTTTTCCAAAGTAGTTTTTCTAACAATGATAGTTCTAATCAATATACTTGATTAGCAAGGATATTTTAGGAAAAACAATACCTATTTAGGACAAATAATTTACTCAACTTATTTTCTTAATTTCTTTAAATTAGTCAACTGGCTCTTATAATTAGGACCGGAGGTAGTATTAAGGGTGATTAGATTAGACTTAGATCATTTGTAAGTTAATGTTTGTTACTTGTGCGCTCATGTGAACTATAGAAAATGGATTATTTTGTCCTCAATGGTATTTTTCTCATCCTTAATGTAAATCTAATTAACTAATTTAAGTAGATTAAAGATGCTAGTTAAATTAGTTGATATAATATATATATTTTTAAAATGTTCTATTCTTTTTCTAATTTTCTTTCTTCTCTTTTTACTTGATTATTGTTGAGGGAATATCACTAAGATTAAGTTGGAGAAGAAATTGATAAATATGTAAAATAAGTTTTACGTATAGAATCAATATAGTGTCAAATTAGGTTTTTATTTTAATATAGGATAAGTGTTTTAGAAACTGAAGCAGTTGTTGTTTTGAAAAAGTGAAATTGATCAGATTTGGCGTAGGTGTTGTTCTGGTGCTCGTAAAGTAGTTTATTTATAGATGACAGATAAAATAAAACAAGCATTTAAAACGTCCCCATTTTAGAGAATAAAACTTTCAATGGTTAAGTGACACAAAATTTTATGAGAAAAAAAGTGACATAAAAGTGGAAACGAAGACAAATGAGAGGATCATGATAAGAGGCAAGCAAACAAATATGAGAATTGGGAAGTGGGGTTGAACAATAAACAGGTGGAAGAAACTAATGGAACAGCACCTAAAGCACTTTTAAGCCTAGAATATGCCAAAAATATGTTGCCATATTTCCTTTATTTAAGTTTATCTTTTTTATTTCAATTCATGAATAGTAATACAATAGTACAGTACTATAGATATTCTTTCAGGCATTCCCCAAGTTTGAGAATATCCCCTCGCGCGTGTTAAGATATTCTCCTAGGACGGGGCTAGTGAGACTATTGAGTCAAGATAATGCAATTTCATTAGTTTTTAATCAATGAAAATGGTACTTTAACTACTCTCCCAATCTTAAATGCAAGAACAAGCAAGATGATTAGTTTGGATTCCAAATAATCTATTTCATCTCTCAAATTTATTTTTTTTAATTAAATTCTTCCTATTAATTTCAGACACACATATTAAGAGGATCTTCATCAAGGAAGTAATATCTAATGCAAATGATTAAGAGGTAATTTAGAAAATCAATACACATTTTAATCTTTATAAGTTAATTACCTAGTTTGTAAATTTACGATTGGAAAGAGTATTTTCCCCACGTAGAACAGATCTGATGATGCCATTCCCTTTTTCTTTTTCTTTCTTTTTTCTGCTTTTTTCTTTTTCTTTCTTTTTTTGGCTTTTTAAATGTCGTTATATTATGTCATTCTTTCGTAAAAGAAAATTCTGCAGTCACTAATCACAACAAAACAAGACAACAGAAGCCACTTGACATGAAAATCTATATATAACTTCATCATTTCTCTGCTGCCACTAGAATCACTCAAGCTTTTGCGCTCATCATATCTTTTGCTGTGCCTTATATTGTGGCTGGTACAGTTCTAGCTTTCTGGTGCAGAAATGGCGGTCGTTCATCAGAGTAATGATGAGTGCTTGAGGCTGCATGGTGATGTTGCCTTGCCTGATTATTATAAACTGCAAGATCTGTTTGCTTCTCAAACCAGACCCAAGTTTGAAGGAGATGGAGACGATGATGACGGCAGCGACGGGGACGGCGACTATGACTATGCTCCGGCAGCCTAGAACAGAGAAAAAATCACTTAGTGAGAGTCGTGTTGCCTTTATATATATGTATCGATACTGAGATTAGCTTTAGCTGCTTAATTAACTGGTTTAGAAGCCCTAGCTAGGTTAGAGAGAGAAAGAAGAAACAGCTTCACATATATACATTATTAAGCTTGCTTGTAAGCTTAGTATTTCTATATGTACTATGGTGTGCATGGTCGTAATATATTGTTGTCACAAATTAACAGTATAACGTATTTTTGAACGTTGATGGGTGTTTTCTTCATTGATATATAGCTTAGATTGTGTGTGTGTGTGTGTTGTGTATGTTTGACTGCTTACGTTTACAGCCAACCATGACTATTTAAAGTGAAGAAAAGAAGAAGAAAAAAGAGGTAGTAGAAGGCCCCGCTGAACACACACAACACAAACCTCACCATATAATATGGTATTTTTCTGAGAGATATAAAGTAATTATGATACATATATGATTCATGTGAATTAATATAATATAACAGTATATAGCTTAAAGCAAAAATGTTTTATATAGTCTTGGTATATAGTGAAACTGACCTCGAGGGGCTTAACTTGAGCAATATCCTCACTAGTTTTGGTTTTGATCTGATAGCCTATTATACTAAAGTGTTTTATATTCTCAAAGGTATTCTCAAGGTTTTGTAGTGATTTTTATAGTTTTTTAAAGCGATATATATATATATAAATATTAACTATATGATGTGTGTGTGTACGGGTTTGTGATTAGTTTATAAAGCAGCAATATTACAAAAGTAAAGAAAATTGAAAACATAATAAATGCACCCTTTGGATGTATGTGTGCATTACTATGAATTAATTAATTATACAAGGAGATTCGATGTGTTGGCAAATGGTACGAATAGTTTTGTTTTGATGATCTGCTGCAAGGTAATGGTGGAGCTAGCACAATCACAAACTACTATTCACTCAGAGAAGATCATTATCTTTGCGTTTGAGATGATATGTGTTGTAATTGTAATTAATGCCTATAAATAAATGTAATGTTAGTACTGTTTTTTTAATATAAAAACTAGCTTGATTTTTATTTGTTTTTAAATATAAAACTTCATTCTATTTATCTCTCATATTTATCTTTTTTTTAAAAGATAATCTTTATAGTCTTAGTTGTACATATTAAGTGTCTCATCAAATGACTATTAATTAGTAAGAATATTTTAAAGATATAACACTTATTTATTATAAATAATTAATTTAATCTATTCAAATTAGATAATTAATTCTTATATTGAGTACTGAAGGTAGCATGTATCTATAATATTAGAGCAACCACCAGCACTCATGCCTCTATTATTATCACTGTATCTCCTCCATACACACAAACAAAAAAACACCCCTCTCTCTGTCTTTCGGACCTTGCCCGGCACAGTGTGTTTCCCATGTGGATGCAGCAGGCATGTAGCAGCCATGGATCCACATACCCTATTATTATGTGACTCATTCAATTATTATTCCAACAGAAAATTCAATCATCATTTGCCTCCGCTTTATACTTACTGCATCAATTCTTTGGTTTGAAAGTTAAAAACTTTTCACTTCTAAAAATAGGGTAGAACTTACAACCTCTCACTCAAAGATATTTCTAAGCAGAATAGTTGTTTTTTCAAGTAGTGTTATATCTAATTAGTTAGTTAATATTTGAGATAGATTTATCCCACTAGACTATAAGGCGATGAGTATAAGGGGTGTTTTGGTGGTAAGATCAAAATCTAATGATTTTAGAGTGTGTTTATAGTATACGAGTAAATATGTGGAGAAGTTTATCTCGATTTACGAAAAAAAATACTTTTAAAAGGTGATTATTTGGATATCCAAACACCCCTAAATATGAAGCCTTTTGTGCAGCCTCCCTCTTTATTTCTAATCAATGCCTGCGGGTCACCAACAAGGATGTCTTGCATAATGGGTTAGTTTCTTATAACGTAGCGCGTTAAGATTCAAATCTTCAATAAAATTTTTGTTTATATGTTTAATACTCGATTGTGACTCAAATATAACTACTTTTAATTTTTTTTAAAAAAATGTGTTGTAGGGGACTAGGGGCCTTGCACGTCCCCCTTGCCCTGTGGCGATTCTAACAGGCTCATTTACATTGAGACTGGGTAATAAAGAGACATAGTTTACTAGGATGGGCTGGGCCTGATTTTGCGGGACCCGGACCCAGAACAAGATTTCCCAAACGATGTCGTGGTGGTCCGGGCGCGCCTTTTCTATCCATTCATTGGCTCTTCCCTTCCTGCCTCTGCTTCTTTCCTCCGTAGTCAGTCCTCACTTTCAACGCTTGCCTTGCTCCCGCGTCTCTCATTCTCTCTCCCTTCAATCAATATCGTCTTTATTACCGTGCGTACGATTTCTCTCTCGTTTCATTTCATTCACTCATCCTGATTTTCTCATTATCTCTCCTCCTTTTTCGTCAAGATCTGCGTCCATCTTTGTGTCGGTGATTCAATCCTTCCCTCATCTTTAGCTAGCACTCTGTGCCCCATCCCATTTCACCTCTCGATCTTTTTTCTACAAATCGACCTATATCGTGAATAGTGAATACCCAGAATCAAGCCTCCGCGATGATCCCGTGCTGTATCTCTTCTCAATTGATTTCTACGCTCTTCATACTGCTCAGTCTCTGATTTCCCCAGGATTGTGTGTCATTTGGAGGTGAATTTGGTGAAATAGTATCGTTATGTCGGCGATTCGATTCGATGCCACCAAGCAGTACTACACCACGAGCAGCCTCGTGGTTGGGTATGCACTCTGTTCCAGCTTGCTTGCCATCATAAACAAGTATGCTATCACTATGTTCAATTACCCCGGCCTTTTAACTGCATTGCAGTATCTGACTTCCGCACTTGGGGTATGGGTCCTGGGGAAGTTGGGATTTTTACACCATGATCCTTTCACATTGGAAACTGCCAAGAAATTTTTGCCTGCTGCTTTGGTATTTTATCTGGCAATCTTTACCAATACGAATCTTCTCCGTCACGCAAATGTCGACACTTTCATAGTGTTTAGATCCTTGACTCCCCTTCTGGTTGCTGTGGCTGACACCACTTTTCGGAAGCAACCGTGCCCTTCGAAGCTCACATTCTTGTCGCTTGTCATCATTCTGGGCGGAGCTGTAGGGTATGTGGCCACTGATTCTGCTTTTTCGCTGACTGCTTATTCGTGGGCGTTTGCTTATCTGATAACAATTACTACTGAGATGGTGTATATCAAACATATGGTCATGAATCTTGGATTGAACACTTGGGGGTTTGTTCTGTACAATAACTTGTTGTCATTGATGATGGCTCCGATATTTTGGTTTCTGACGGGAGAGAACTTTGAAGTTTTCGCTGCTTTGAGATCAAACTCAGGCCATTTATTCGAACGTACAGCATTTGCTGCGGTATCATTGTCTTGCGTGTTTGGTTTGCTCATCAGTTTCTTTGGCTTTGCAGCTAGAAAAGCTGTTTCTGCAACAGCATTTACTGTCACCGGAGTGGTCAATAAGTTTCTTACCGTAGCCATTAATGTGGTTATTTGGGATAAGCATGCCAGCCCAATCGGTTTGGTTTGTCTGCTTTTTACTATTGCAGGGGGAATTCTTTATCAACAGTCAGTTACTCGATCTACCAAAGCTCCACCACAGCGTGATGCACTGGTGTCTAAGCAGCCAGATGTTGAGAATAATCATGATGATGATGATTTGGCGGATGAGAATCAACGAATGGGCATGCATAATAAACATGCATCTGTATGAGCATTTGTACTATTATTTGTCAGGATTTCATTTTTAAGCGGTCTATTTGCGGTCTTATCTTTAGTAACGATTTTAGAAAATTTTGTTGCATTGTGACAAATATTTGTTTCGGTAGGGTTATGTTCTGCTATTATTATAGTTTACTTCTCTCGCTTTGCCTTCTCTCTGAGTTTGTTTGGTAGCCTAGGTTTCATCAGATCAAGATTTTCTAGATGAAGGATCATTTCTTTGCCCGGATTTTTAAGGTACTCTTTTTCTCAGCGGGAGGGCTTCCTTGTGGTAATCCTGAACAAATTTGGGGTTCGGGTGGACTTTGCTATGAGGTTATATGGAGGTATTAATCAGTTGTGAAATCGATCATAATGTTTCCATAATTTTTCTCTTGACAAGTGTTGATGACTTAGTCACTTCAGGTCTCCCAATCTTAAGAGATTCTGTAGTCTTTTCCTGTTCGTCTTTAACTCTGAACATGATATTGCGTGATGTCATGCTGATAGGACAAGTTGTAATGTTGGGGAGAGGTAGATGTACTAGGTTCTATTACTATTGCTACTTACGAAAAAATAGATGGTCTGAAATGGGATTATCTGTGATGATGATCGCAGGCCTTAAGCGTCTGACAACTTTGTTCATTATCTTATAAGCTTGCTGTGTTATCTTTCAAGCCAGCCATATTACACTGTGATTTGATGTAAAGCATTTAATCAGTGATTTAACTTACTCTAACCTTAATTAGTAAATTTATGGCTAGTGAGTTACTGTTATGTGATATTGCAACACAGCCTGCCGTTGAGCAGAAGCAGTAGTGTCAGAGTAATTGTTTGAGAGTTTCACAGCTAGCTTTTAGCCATAATGCAGAGGTTTTCTTGTTTCTCGTTGTAATCAAAACACAATGTTAGTGACACCCTGATAGTCCCTTCACCGGCATAAAAAATTGAGGGTCAATAGGTTCTCAGGCTGATGAAATTAAGGGTAAGTCGGGAGATAAGCCATTGTTTTGGACTTTTTGTCACAGAATTCAAGGCAGAGATGTAAAAGTATGTTTGATGGCCTTTTTAGGGATTATATTGACGTATAAGATGCGAATTTTTGGCATCATGTCCAAGGGTATCCTCAAGTTTTACCGGATTCTAGATGATTTTAAAGGCATTTTCCTTCATTGGTCTAATGCATTTGGTATTTTCCCCATAGCCATACCAATAGTCATGGTTTATCGTATGGATATGCCATTCTAATATACTGAAAAGTAGTCCGGAACTAAAGATTTGGCGAGTGCATTGATCAGACAAAAGGAAGTTTTAATGAAGGAGCAGGTTCAAGTGCTCCTCCTGTGCAGTGATATACCATTTTCACATCCTCTTTAGGCCAATGCCACATCTTCCGGTTCTAGAATAGAAACAGATAGCATTCGCGACCCCAAAACTAGTAGCCGTATCTCTTCCTGAGCGAGTCCTGATGCTTTGGCAAGTCATATCTATAGAACTCCGAGAGTATGAAGTTCAATTTACATGTCTGACTGCCCCTTCTTTCCACTAGTCGTATCTTGTGTTCTTAAGCCAATGTCATCCTGCCTTATAGATTATATCGAATCATTCTATACAAATACATTAGATGCATTTTATCTGATTTGCATGTTCTCTGATTGTGATGGGAAGCCATTAAGATTTCTAGTAATTCTGCTAGCACGAAGCTCACATACCAACCAATATATAGTTCACAGAGAGCCCGGTTAATTTTGTCGTGTGCCTCGTTTTCTTTCATAACGTTGCTGAAAATGACGGAGACAGTCGCGTTAAATCTATCAGAACCGATCCTTCTTTTCAGTGTGAAGCATTTTCTATTTAAACCTTGAGAATGTTATGCCTGGGAGTGCTGCCGTTTGAGTAATGCAACACATACACATAAAATCACATTCCGTATTCTTAGGGAAACCTGGGATACATAATTAGCCAAAAAAAATCTGGTGACCACACACAAATTGAATGGATGATATGGATCCTCTAGAGCTTTCTTGTGTCAACTGTTGAAAATAAATTACATAATAAGTAGGGTTTACTAATGAAGTGTGCGGTGCGTCAAGTCTGCCTAAAATTTCATGCCCTGTTCCACCTAACAATATTCAGATCACTAATATATTAAATAGTGAGTGAGTCTTGAAGAAAAAGAAATTGTTTGATTAAGGTTTGTCTCTTGTAAACGCAATGGCAGCCTGACTCCTGCCTAAAGCTAATTGACTAAAAAACACTACTGGGAAGTGGAGGCGTGCTCCTTCCTGCTCGTGCTCTGCTTCCAGTTCCTAATTGCTTAGCTGCACCTACCTCCAAAATCATTCTTGCAATGCATCATTAATTAATTCTTAATCCTTCGTGTTCTCATTCTCACTTACTCTCCACATTTGGCCAACCACAAAGTCCAACGTTATCTTTTTATACTAAAAAATTTTTGCCTTTAAAAACTCCCTTGTGTCTCTACCAATGACACCGCCCCATGACGAGCGATCACCCTTCTTTCCAAAACTTTCCGAGTCACTGTCCTTTCTGCCTAGTTATCAGCTCCTCCTTTTGGGTTGTCTTTTTGCTCCCCCAAATCATAATAATTCAGAACACGCACAAACTCAAACATCCCTTTCAAATTCCCACTATATATGCAACATTTTGAGCCGTCCCTTCTCAGAATTTCTCGCATCAAGTGCCAGTGACAGGGGAATTCTGTGACTCTTTTCATGGAAGATCATCAGAATTCAACGCCGAATGCTATTGGCCTCTGTCTCCTCCCATCTGAGCTTGTGCAAAACATCTTTCTCTCGCTGGTTTTACCCGAAATCATTCGCTTAAAGTTGGTCAGCAAATCGTTTTCCGACATCATCTCCGATCAGAGCTTTGTCCGTGAGTGTAACTCGCGGTCCAGCTCCACAGCGTGGCTCTTCGTCTACAAGAAACGGTGGCTTCGCGACGCGGTCCTCCACGGTTTCACCGACCGCTCCGACCGATGGTTCCGGATCCCGATCGCAGAGCTCCTGAAGCCTATCCATTTCCACTCTGAAGATCTCTACTTCCTGACGGCCTCCGGGAACGTCTTCCTCTTCGCCTCCAACACCGTGAGGGAAGTTATTGCGGTTAATCTAGTCACCATGACCGTTAAGAGAATCCCTCCCAGTCCCTTGGGCCCTCGCGGCACCTCCTCCTGGAGAAGATCAGGCATGAAGCTGGTGACCGGCCCACCCGGGTCGGCCCATTTCAGATTCATATTCGCGGAGTTCGTGGATAACCGCCCGATCCTCTTCGTGTACAACTCCATCACCGACACATGGAAGTCCATCGAAGCAGAAGAAGGCACAGCAAACAGAGGCAACAATTCCGCACGTGGAAACCAGGTAAGCCAGGAAGAAGGAGACGAGCGCATATTCCTGAACGTAGTCAACGGTCGGAGAGACAGCGTGCTGGTGGCCTGCACATCGGAGTGCGAGTATCCAGTGGTGGTCCGGCCAAGATTCGAGAGAAGAGGCGGCGAGGAAGAGAGAGACAGAGAGATGAGAGTAGGTTTCAGCTGGGGGAACGTGATAGACAGGTTACACGTGTACGGTGATGGGTACATGATGATCGTGGAATCAGAAGGAGGGGGAAGAGATGGGAAGAGGAGGATGTTGAAGGGGATAGAGATGTGGGGGGTGAAGGGAAAAACAGGGACTGAGTGGGAATTCATATCAAAAGCACCAAGCGAAGTGATGAAGAAGATAGCTAGGGTTTATGGGGTGATGATGGGTTGCCTGGAGCAGAGGAATGGAGTGATCAGGGCATCTCTGGTAACCAATTGGGAAGGCCTTTGGGACATCATGTGGATCTCATTCCATCCAAACACAGATCACTGGTCAGGGATTCCACTACCTGACTGTAAAATGAAAGGTTGTAACTTGGCCGGAATCAGCTTCTCCTCTGGCCTCACCTTGCCTTACTAATAGGGATATATATGATCCACACTACAAGTTTGTAATTTTTGAGGAAAGCTTCTTGTGAATACCAAGGCCTTGTTATTTGAGAATGGTGATGATGATGTTATGTGCAAGAAATTAGAAGTTTTTTCTTTTCTTTTCTTCTTGGGTGGTTGTAAGAAGGCATGACGTGTGAGGTTTGAGAGTAAAGGTTATTGTTGAATGTCATTTTTGTGACTTAAAGGATTGGGGTTTCCACAACGTGAAGATGTCAGGAAGATATTAGGAGGGGCAAGTCATTGACGGAGGGATCTGTCCCACCCACTCAGTCAAGAGCCTTCTTCCTTCTTTTCTGCCCCCCCTGGCTCCTTTATTCCCCACTTGTTTTCTGATTATTGGTAAATTGGTCAATTGTTGGAGACTTTTTAATGGGAAAAATGACAAGTCATTTGTTTAGTTTGGTTATATATTCTTAAATATTTTTTTTAAAAAATCCATATTACATGTTTTGATATCAAATAACTTCATAATACCCGTGCAAACCATCACACTTGAGTTTTGCTTTAGGATGGGAAGAGAGGTGAGCTAATAGCCTAATAATGAGCAAACCATTCTACTCCTATCAAATTTATTTTTCCATCTAAGAAAAAAAATAGTTATATTAGAATTTATTAATTCAAATTTTAAATATGTTGCAACTTTCACCTTACATATTATACAACTTTGATGTTATTTGTTGTACTTAATTTTTATTAATCTACGTTTTAAGAAAAAAAAATGTATTTGTTCTATAACATTCTCATCTTAAACCAAGGGAACACGACTAGCTTGAATCTTAATATATTAACTTAACCTGATGAAAAATTAATTGAGGAAGCCAAATCATATTTGATCCTTATAATATACTAGTAATATATCCGAATTGGTGTTCCATCAAAGGGTCCACAACCCTGACGTTTTCATCATTTGAGGAGTGGGTATGTATGAGATGTTTACCGAAATTAATTAATTAATTAATTAATTAACCTCACGCCATCATGTTTTAGCCTCAAGCTCCCTTAATTTCTCTGCCTCAATCATTTCCTATATTTTATGCTTCAATTTTCGTCCCAAGTAAACATTATGAAAGCGAAATCACCTCTTCATTTTACTGCTTCGGCCATTTTCAGCCTCCTTTAAAATATTATTTGCAGCTTCAAATACACTTCAATCTTAAATTGGCCGACCGACAAAGGTTGAGTCTGGTAAAAATAAATAGTCTCACAGTATAATAAATCAAAATTTGAATTTCCGTTAAAAAAGATATCCACATGACAATACCTCAAGCATGATTATATGCACTTGTGCCTAGTCCAAAAATAAAAATTCATGCATTGGTCCACTTGCTTAATTTTTCTCCATAAATTAGGGGAGTGTCATACTTTAATTTCAAGCCTAAATCTAAATATTATGCTTTTCATTCAATTTACAGATAAATTATAAAAAATTAATTTGTAGAGAGGTGGGATTTGGAGATTGGTGGGTTTACTTTTACTTAATGCAGAGGCAGTGCTCACATTTTAAAAAGTAGCCAAACTTGTGAACATGGAAGACAATAAACTAATTAGTAATTAAATCCTATGTTGTCATGATTATGATACTAATCACATATTTATTACCGCCACCAATGGTGTTGGGTTTAGTAATTTGTTTATTAATTTAGCAGCAAATATACCGGAAGATGCTTTCGCATCATATACGTGGCAACGAACGATTGATTCTAAGTTATAGCCACGTACCATGTCATTTAATTTTTTTTTTTTTAAAGAAAAAAACTTGCGTTTCTACGTACGTACGTAAACAATCTCATTAATATAATAATCTAATATTTCAACCGCATTATACCAATGATCGTTATCTACTATTATTATATGAGATGACTTATCGGAAAATTCAAGGTTGATGGACAACGGCAATATGATTTCTTTTCTTTTCTTTTCTATTTTTAAAAAAAGGCCGTTGACCTGTAAATTGTATTTATGTCGAATCCAAATGTTGTGAACGCATTGCTCAAAGTACAATCACAAATATATTGTATTACTTTTTTATTAGTAAAAAAATTTAAATAAGTTGAGTTTACAAAGATAATTAAGAGCATGACATACCTTCAGATTTAAAAAACACTCATAATCACCTATTAACTATTTCCTTACGTTGACAGTATAATTTACTCCTCCGGTCCTTAATATAGGACCCATTTAACTAATTGATTAGATTAAGAAAGTTAGGTAAGTTAGTTAATTATAAAAAATATGACACATTTTTTTTAAAACACCATTATCATCTTTCTTATTACCTTTAATTATAAGAAATATGACACATTTTTTCTAAAACACCATTATCATCTTTCTTAATACCTTCTCTCTCTTTTCTACTTGATTATGGTTGAGGGAGTATCCATAGGGATAATTTAGAGAAAATTGATAAATAATATATATATGTCTTATATTTAAGACTAAAACCAACTCAATAATTGGGTCTTATATTAAGGATCGGAGGAGTATTTATTTTTTTGACCTCTACGACTTTGCCAACATTTGTTGGCATTATATAGTGTATTTAATTAACATGATTAGGAGTGCATACTAATCGTTAGTTAGCAGTCAGCACGATGGTATGTATTACTCATCAACATATTAAGCTAAAACTAAATAGTTCGAATACTTCAATTTAATTAAATCCTTAACCTTTAATTTAATTACAGAATATGGAGGCTAATAAGTGAAGGAGCTTTTGTGAACCAAAAGTTGAACTTGGAAAATTTGACGGAAGCATTACACTGAGAGAAACAGAGTCAAGGCAGAGTCAAAATTTTGCATGCAGAAAAAAAAAAGCGTTACAATATGAACAGGCTTGTACATGTACAACTAATTCATTTCACCTCCAATTTCTCTCTCTGGAACTATCCTCTACTGTTTCTCTACTTGAAATCTCTCTTTAATTCGTCTGGCCCTGCCCTGGATTCAACAGTAAAACATAACATTCTTCACCTTCTCTTTCAGAGCTGGCAATGGCCGAACTGAGCCATCATTTGATCTTGCCCCTCGTGCTTTAGCATTCTCATGCACATCAGGTTCCATGTAGAATCGAGCTCTGTAAGCTGCCAGATGAGCATAGTATGCTGGAGGCACTGCACCCATAAACAAGCCACCATTAATATCTCATAGAATTATGCCATTTCCCTCTTCTTAAATATCAACAAATCACTAACATCTTGTGATTGAATTAGCCATCTAAAATGCTTTTGATCATGGGAAAGCTCTTTATACTTGAGACATGCCTTAAACCAGTCAAACGTCAATTTGTTCAAGAGTTTATGCTATTAGATGAAGATAAGTATTACCTACGGAAACAGATCTCGTGCATCTTGCATACCTGCAATTAGAGAGTTAAGCAGGCTGATTATGGCATTATAAGAATGAAGCAGACCAAGTTGATGAGTAAAAAGAAGAAGAATGTTTATTTACGTGTAGCATAAGTTGTTGGTTAAAGATTGAATCTCGTCTGCAGTGAATTTGTTCTCGTCCCAGAGGACATGATAGTGAGCTGGTCTACTCGTGCCCTGCAGTTTTGCCAATCATAACGTCAAGAAGTAACGTATATCTTATCGACATCTTTTGTTCTAAATGGTCTCAACAGAGAGGGGAAAAAAAAAGCAAGGAGAAGAAGAAGAAGAAGATTGAAGTTCATCCGAGAAAATCTCTTGCAATCCAATCTAAAGACACTGTTATGTAGCAACATAGAAGTCACTTAATGATACTCATACCTGTATTCCTGCATGACTGCATAAATAAAAGTCAAATTCTGTAGGATGACAGATCTTAGAATCCACCACGGTCCCTACATTGATCAGGCAGGTAAGTAAAAGCCAGTTAAGCCATAACATGAAAGAACCTTTAAACATTAACAATGTTTTTTTAAGAAAGATAAGCGAGACAATTTCAGGACACCTATTAATGTTTTGATGTGTCAAATAGTATTAAAGAGAGCAGTTGGATGAAGAAAGAAGGAGAAATAGATATTAAGACAGCTTGTAGAAGACTTGAGAAAAAGAAACCCAGGCATGTACCATCCTCATGAGCAAAAGACAAAGGCCAAAACAGTGAACTCCCTTTCCTTGTATGCGCATCGGGTAACTATAACTAACGAACTTTTCCCATTACATTATGAACCACCATATAAGATATCCTAAAATTGGTCACAAGGACACAATCTTGAGCATATCGGCAGAGGCAAAAATGTGTACCAGGTAAGATGTTGCCACTCCTGTCAGTGCTGTTTCTGTCATCATGATTGCTCGAGAAGAGTCTAGTGTGATGCCGCTTTTGAACCACAACAAATGTTACTGGAGGTTGATAACTAGGTTCCAATGATGCACAAGCCTACATATGGTGAGAATTTAACCATTTAGGAATGGTATAGTCAACTTGAATAAGCATCAGGGCAAAACAGTGTAGTTCTTTAGGCTTTTTCTATTATGACTAGGAGAGGGATTTTTTTTAATTAATCAATAATAATGTGACGTTGAGTCATTAAAAATATCCACATGTTATTGTTCTATTGAAGAATAAGATAGTGAACACATAAAAAACTGTAACTATGTTAACTTCTAAGTAACTTTAAGAACTTCAAGTGTAAGAGTACCTTGCGGATCGCATCAAGCTCATACAACAAAACCTGGTAGAATTGTCCTTCGCTTACCCCATCCCTGTAAATAAATTTCTTGACATTACGATTATAAAAATCAAGGATATTCCTAATTATGACTCAAGTCTTTATTTAACAATACCCTTAACAAGAACAAATATTCTTTAAGTTTTAAAAATCAAACAGTTATCATTCCCACCTGTAAAATATGATCCTCAATGGTTTTTGTCCAGTTGCCTTCTGAAATGAGAGTAAGAGCTCTCTGTAGTTGGGCAGCCACAAATTAGTATAATCCTTGAACTTTCACGCTAAATACCAAGAACATGCATAAGAGTTGAACTTAAATACCTGATCATGCCACCATAAACTATGCCACGCTGAGGATCTTTCCAACACTTGAAAAGGTCTTGAATAAGTTCTTCACGATGAGGCTGAGCACACACAAGTCCTGCATATTTTGTTACTTCAGGCCAGTCCTGTGAGGCTACAACCTGAATTACAGTGATTAATAATCAGTATGGCTTGAACATATGCAAGGCCACTCATGATATATACTGGTTTGCAAAAGCTTACAGCAGCAATGGATGGAGAAGAATCTTCTCCAGATTCTGGATGAGTTACATCAGCTCCAAATATTATTGTCGGAATGTCACTAACAAGTGGAATTCTCCAACTCAACGCATCCAAAAGCACTGTGTTTCTTCCTCCCATCTAAAAATGTGATGCATTTATTCAAGAAGATGTAGAATGAACCGAAAGTAAAGAATGAATGGATACATACATCAATTAGTAATAACGTACCTTGACATTGATTTTAAGCGCCACATTTGCCAGGTATTGTCTGTTAACCTTGAAGACGTGTTTTGTGAGGCAGCACTGAGAAATCAACCCTAGATCTGTTTCACAAATCCTTTTGAGATCACCTGAGGAAAAAAAAAAGTAGGTTTCGTTTAATGTAAGCAATAAAATTTAGAGAAATTTCCCCCACAGAAAAAGTGTGACACGATGTGCTTCAACAAGACCAGGGTTCGGCTTCATTTTCCACAGTCAGAGAGGAATAAGGAGAATCTTTGAGGAGCTAGAACCTTCCAAAAATTCCTTAAATTCATCCCTATAACTATGTAGACATGGAGAAGTGACTTGGAACCATACCATACAGAGAGCCGTTGTTGTCAGGAAGAATGGCAATGAGCAATTCCAGCTCTTTCCCCTCAAGTTTGTCCAAAGCAGCAGAGTGTACGTACTTCAAAGCCTTTTTAACCTGATCTGGTCTTGCTGTATATATTGGAATTACTGGCTCCTGACTGAATTCCTAAGTAAGGATCAAACACATTATGCATGGCACAGGTACAAAAGGATCAATAATTGATGTCTGTGGATATAAAAGTACATAAAAGAAAACGAAAATCTTTACCATGCCTGAGATTTGGCACATCTGAACCAACTGTTGGCAAAAACCACGAGCTGTGCTTTCTTGAACGCTACGTGAGAAATTGATACATGCCCAATATCTTACTATGCTTCCATTTATAACTTTCTGTATATAAATCATTGGGATCCTTTTCAGCTCGGAACAAGGGAATTTAAGGGGGGAAAAACAGAGAGAGAGAATTATAACATGTTAATGTCTGAGGTTACCTTGTTCATCATATTCCACTGACCAACTTGTGGCAAGTACTCTTTCTCTCTTCCTGTATCGTGATATTTCAACTATAGGCAACAGATAATTGCAAAATCTTAATCAGATATTTGACAGAAGATTGCCAACTAGAGGTGACTGGTTATGACAATGAGCAATTACCCAGGGAGCAGGCAGAACCCGAGCTTCAACAGAAGCAAGCTTGTCGTCTATGCTGATACCAAACTCTTTCGCATAGGGGTTATTCTCATAATCATTTTGTTCAACCGTCTGTAAGTACATTGAAAACGTTCTATATTAACCAAATAAACTTCATTTTTTCCCTATTTCTAGGAGTTGAAATCTATTGATGAATGTTGAGGACCTGCAGAATGTCTAGCTCTTGTTCACGGGGTCTTTGGCATGAAACTTTAAGCAGAGAAGTTATCTGCTTCTCGTTTAGCCCTTTTGTATATCTCTGGCCCCCAACAATCTTGCATGCCTGGCAAAAATTCGGATGACTTGTCTGTGGAAAATCTTACAGAGAAAAACGAATTCAAATAATAGCCTAGCAGCTTACCTCCATTGGCAAATAATTCACCTTCTTTTCGTTCCCTACTTGCAGGCATGGTAGATGAGAATACTTAATTCTATAGCCATACATCTCCCGGAAGTAATCAACTACTGATTTCATGTTCATTTGCTCATCAAGAGGGAATCTGTTCGGAGCAAAGAAACAATAATTCGTATCTTTTAAATAAAAGTCCAACTTGCAATGCAAAATATAGAAATGCTTACATAAGCTCTCTTGTAGGCTGTGATGTCAGTCCTGAAATCCTGTACTTCCTTCGAACATTTCCTCTATGAGTAACTTCAACTTTCACACCTCTTAAGGCTTTTTTAATCTGCTTGACCACATGTAGAAGATTTTTTGGTTAAATATTACCCAAATCTTGGGAAATGATTTCTGAATTTGTATCAACAGCACACCTTGACACGATCTGCATCTGACAATGGTTTTGAATGCACATCTTTACCCAGAATTTGAGCAACGAAATCAATGACAGGGAGTGGTTCAATAAACGCCATAGATGACATGTCTGAATGTAGTGTCAAAGGTGAACAAAATCAGCTTGTTACCATTGGCAACATAGTGTAAGTTTTTAGTCTTAGCACAAGGAAAAATCTGTAATATATAGTGAAATTCTCACCAATGTTAAGCGACAATCCCATCTGAGTAGGCCTTATACTCTGGTAAAAGCCACGCCATGATTCCAAACCACCACCTAGCTGCTGTGGTTTTTTTATATCAGCAGAATAGAGAGACCTTCCAACTGATACGTAACTATACATCACATGCAGATTAAGTTACAACAAATGACGAAGATAATTAATGCTTGAAATTTTGGGGGGGGGGGGATCAGAAAATGCACCTTTGAGCCGCAAGCTCCCTTAATACAATATCAATGATGTTAAGTGCTTCTTGTGGGGTGTTCACTTGTTTTCCACTAAGAAGATCCCGTAGTTGATGCATGCTAACACGAGTTACGAACTTGATTTTCACTCTAAACTCTCGTTCCCTAACCAGTTGCAAAATCAGAAAATTCAGTGGGGCGGATAAGGGATATATTATATATTTTGATTTTGAATGGCAAATAGATTAATCTGCAGGTAACACGACAACAAATAAATGGCAGCAATTAAGAAAAAAATTACTTTGAGAATAACATAGTAATTTATATGGTTAATTACCAGGTATTGCCTGTACCCTCATCTTCTTCGGTCAATGTTATGGTGAATTCTTTGTGTATAAAAGGAAGCAAACCAGCAGTGTAAAGATTCTTTCCTCCATCATAAACGGGGAGCCTCATCCCCAAGTCTGTATTTCTATGAAGCCTCACCAACTCAGCAATGATAGCTTTGCTTATTTTACGAGAAGTAACTTCAGGCGCTATCTTAACCTTCACAAAACAAGAAAGATAATTATGTATAAGCCAGGTATTTTCTCAAGTTTGCATTGAATCACTTCTTCTGTAGACCCAACTTACACTGTAATGGCTCAAGTCAGATGCTGATATATCTGCGAGAAAGTGGTTAGCTTTGACCACACACTTTGTCCCAAGCTGGCCATAGCCAGGCCTATGGGTGAACTCAAGGCTATTGCAAGAAGCAGCATAAGGATTCAGTTCTAAATCAACCCCTTCTTCTTTTAATATCTCTGGTTTCCAATGGCTTCTTCTCCTACCTCTTCTTCTACGATCCGTGTGTTTCTGCATAGGCTTTCTTGATTTAACTTGTTCTTCTTCTGGGTCCTTCATTTTCACAGAGTAGTTCTGCAGAAAAAGAGACTTTTCACATGGTGGTTTCGGGTAGCTAGCTTACCAGAGAGAGATTGACAAATAAGAGCCACGTTTTCACTGGAACCCATTAAGCTGATGAAGTTGGGCAATAAAGAAAGAGAAAGCATAGAGAAAGTACAGAGAATAGGGAAAGACAGGAAGCATTGTAACGACTGCTATAGCTGAAAAGGAGCGTAAAAGGAGAAAAGAGAAGATGGCACGACATAAAATCTTCACAGCGTTTTTCTCCTCTCCTAGGCGCTGTATATTCTCTGAAAAGTGAGGGAGGGTGAAAATAACTTTAGTGACGTGCTTATCTACATGCAAAACTAAACCACAGAAATGGCCTAGTAAATTCTAATGGTCCCAATTCCTGTCCTTTAAAGTTAAACTCCCTATGTGACACAAAGGAGAACCAAACTACTATTCATTAACAGCTGACGTTCATATTGCTTTCTTGTCCTCAACACAACTTTCCTCCCTATTTTTCTCTGGTTCCATTGGTTCACAAAACACAGTGCTGCTTCATGCTTGTAGAATCTTGAGCTAATTTTGGAAGCAGGTCAATAAGTTAATTAATCTTCTTCTTCTCCCATTCATCTCCAACAAGCTCAACTCAAGCAAGCGGCTTGACACCAAAAAGAAACTCTCCATCCTTCATGGACTTACAAGCTAAAATAAATGGAACTTATCACATCTGTACGTATATAATATTGAAACTCTTATAAGCTGTACTGCCATTTATACTATTACTCATTTCCTAGACTTTATGCAATCCACATAATCCACCCTAGTTATAATTAAAAGGAAGTTAAAGTCAACGTGCTTGAATACATAGTAGTATATAAGAGATTGATTTGAGAGTGTGGTCGCACTCCTTACCCAAATCCCAGAGATGTAGGGTGTGAGTGATACAGTTGGGGGGGGGGGGTCACAGTTAGGACCCGAAGGTGCAGATTTGGGTCCATTGAAAGGAGTTATTGAGCTGGATGGGGTGGTCCCAAGTGGGAATTACCCTATAGTAGTCCAAGTTAATGGGCAGGGTAGCTAGAGTAAATGAAACAGATAAAGATAAAAAGGGCTTTATTTTTTTCAGCGAGCACAAAGGAGCTTTAACTGCTTTCCCAGTTGAACTAAAGTGACAGAACGAGAAGTAAAAGCAAGTATAATACTACGACAACACACGGGTTCAACAGGGAGAGGCACGAGGCATTAAAAAAAAAAAAAATCGATCATCAGGAAATCAGAAAGCTGGTTATGTTCATGACACCAGCAAAATGAAGCCCCGAGTCAAAACAAAATTTGAAGCTTGTCTTCTTTGTATGCCACTGTTCACGCATCAACTTACCATAATGCCTGCCATTGTCAGCTGCACCTGTACGTGCGCACCTATATGGCTAATAAAATCTCCAAACTTGGCCAACAATTACAGAAAAATAATATATATTTATATATATCTACAGACAAACACAAACATACAGATAGATACACGGACGCCCCACTTGGCAGCAGGAAGAAAACTGAACTTGCCAAGAAATGGTTAAAGTGATGGCAACAACACTCACCACCCATGGGATCGTTAGTTCATCACAAGACATAAAGAACAATCACATGCCGTGTCCCTTTCGGGGCTTTACTCAGTGTCAATGGATCGTTCTCATGACACATGTAAATTTGAGAAGCATGTTCACTAAAAAAGAAGGAAAAAAGAGAAGTTATCTTTACTCAAACGTTTTTCCTTCCAAAACCCAAAGGAAAAGTCTCGTTCTTTGATATTTGGAACCAAAAATGGAGTCATAAACTTTGAGAAGTTAATTAGATAGGCCATTGTCGTGAATTTGCTCCACCTGAATGGTAAAAGAGGAAAGTGAAAAAGACATTCATTAATGAATTTTTGCCACCATGGCTGTGAATGAATGAATGCTGCAACTTTGGTTAATGTGACAGTGCATAAATGTGTTGGGAAGTAGTAGCTAGCTGTAAAAATTTGCTTTTCGTGAGAAATCTGGTGGAAGACACTTTTTTTTTTCCACCCCTTGTTTCTGAGATAGTTGGGTATGTTTCTGGTGGTCGTAATCACATAGGGAAGCTATATAGCGCCTGCTATAGATTTGATAATCGGAATCGGAAGGAAAACAAAAAGGAGAAAGGGACTATCCTGTGATTGTGAAACATATATCAGTTTAAGAATTAAATGGTTCAAAAGAAGGAAAAAAGAAATCGGGTCAAATTGTCACTGTCTAGTGATGATCCGAATATTAGATTGTCTGTATTACCCGTTTCAGCTCTATCCCTCTCTCTCTTCCCCCCTCCTAAGCCTACCCTACCAAGATTCATCACCATCACCCTAAGATTCGTTAAAAAACCACAACCCTATAATGAAATACTACGGAAGATCATCTCTCCATTTAAAATAGGATTTTTATTTTTGTAAAAAAAGTTATTAATGAATAATTATAAGATTAACGTTAGATTAATTTAGACATTAAAAATATGTGGTCCATCAAGATGAAAAGCGTCCATCCCAGACAAAGAAAGGGGGAAAAAATTGAGTTAATAGTCCTTAAAATTTAATTTTGTTTTGATGAGTTTTTGGAATTCTAGTCTCTTCTTTTACGGACCAAAAAATATTATTTCGAAGATAAAATGTCTTAACATAATCAAAATCAAATCAAATTTTGAGTATTAAAAATGATATTAGTCTGAAAAAATTTTGAAAACAATAAAACATAATATTAATGATATTATGACTGTTCAAAAATATAAATTTATTCAAAGGCAAAATAACTTTTTCATGTATTTAAAAATTTGTATTTATCTAATGACAAAAATGAAATATTCAAGATTTTGAAAATAAGGAGTGCGGTTGGGCCAACAAAAGCTCCAAATTAAATGACACACAGAATGACTGAAGCGATGGCAGTAGGGAGTGGGGGCTCCCACGAATTTTGCAGCGCACACCCCTCCCAATCACAATATACCATCATGACCAGAATTTAATTCTTTAAAAAAATCAATTTTTTTTGGTACAGTAAGAATATTTAATTAATTTCTTAATCTAATCATTTCCGACGTTAAAATCATATGGCATATGTATCAGACATATTGCTTAATTAAGGATTCAAAAAAATGATTCCCCGTTCATTTACAGATTGCCTTAAAAAGGCAAAAAGCAAAATTAAAATATATATAATTTTTCCTAAATTTTTTATATACAAATACTTTTTCATAATTTCATCAAACGAGAAACATGTACAATGTACGACACAAATTCGTAAACCTAGAGACAAATGCCTGGCCGGCTGGACCACATACATCAAAAACCAAACAAATCTACAATCCCAAACTTAAATTGAGACCATACAGAAGGTTAAAGTGGATCTAGTATTTTAAAATATTTTAGTTTTTTTTTAGGTCATCCAGTATTTCAAAATATTTTATGGTACCGAAGTATTTTTAAGCCACATCTAGCACCTGAAATATTTGGTTTGTCTCAGTGATGAATACATCAAAAAATATATTTGAGTATTAAACGTACTTAAAAAAAATATTTTAAAATGTTCTGTGCACCAAAAACACTTTAAGGTGCTAAAAGCACTTAAAAAAATATTTTAAAGTATTAGACACATTATAAAATATTTTAAGGTATTGAATGCATCTAAAAAAAATATTTTGAAATGCTGCATCTAACCCTATATATAATTATAAAAGAAACGAGAAATTAACTATATGACTTTTTTCTTTCTTTCCTATGACTAACAAAATAAAACTTTGACAATAAGGGGCCAAGGGGGAGGGGAGAAACTGATAGGCTATATAATTTGATTTGAATATATAATACTACCTCCAGTCCTAACTACTCAGTACCAATGGGTTAAATGCTACAAGACTCAACGTGCATGCTTGAATCTTACACATAGAAAAATCAAATTATATTAAAAAAATAACTAATCAGTAATCCAAGTTAACTAACAATATAAAGTTGTGTTGGATAACATATAGTTTATCATTAAAAATAATGCTTAATTTCTTTGACCAAAAAACTAGTTGTCATTTGAAAAATAACATAAAAATACTCAAAATATAATAAATCATATTCTTTCTTTTTTTAAAAGGAGGAAAAGTGTTTATGAATTAATGAAATATTTAATATATCACATGAAGGAATGGATATAAAGAAGCTAGCTTAAAAGAGTAGTACATATAGAACTAGTTGGGGGAAGTGTAGAGTTAAATGAGCAGGGATATAGGTGCCAACTTAGAAAGGAAATTAAAGCAAGGTTTGAAAGCCGAAAACTTGACAAGATTTTTTTTCCCCCTTTTAGTGTAATTAAGCATATATATGTGGAAGCGGATGTGGATGTGGGGGACTTCAAAACAAAACCATAAAAAAAGAAAGAAAAAAGGCGAAGACCAAACCAAAAGAAAGAAAGCTGAGTTTGCCACACATTGCAATGATGACAGTTTGAGAGAGACAGGGTGGCTGCTTGCTGCAAACTCTCACGCCTCCTCCTGCTCCTGCCATCCCCATTCAATGACACACACACACACACATAACTTCACATTTTCCCACCAGAACGTAGGGGCCAGCCGAACACTTTCCCACAAGTCCACAGCCAAAAAGAAAAAAACCAAAGATTGAGCAGTATCAGTAATGTGATATATACGAGAGACCTGGAAGCAAACCTTGTGCTTTACGCTATGTGTTTGTGTTGTTCTAATCGGGTTATGAGCCAATTCAACCTCCTCCTTCTTCTTCTTTCTGCTGATCTCTCTCTCTCTCTCTCTCTCTCTCTGCAGAAAAGAGTAGGCACAGTATTCATTAAAGAAGCAGACTTTAATGGATGACATGAAAGACACGAGCATTACTCTCTGCAGCCTCCATTTTACATTTATTATCTGTTATACATCAGTGGATACGCGCGTGTGTGTGTGTGTGTAAGCTCTCGCTCCAGATCTATTCAACTCTAGAGGGTGGCCACATGCATGCCCTATCATAGCTCTACAGCTTTTTCTCAAGCACAAACTGCTAACTGCCCCAATTAAAACCCACATATCAAAATCAAAAGTAAATATATAAGAAGATCATGACAGATATGAACTAGTAATCCTATATTGTTGACAGACACTTGTTACGTATCTATATGAGGCTAAAACTAGAGTAAAGATACACAGAAACGAGTTACCTCTCAGGAATTGGATTCGAATGAGGAATTAAAACAAACTGTTTCTGATCTCAACCTCTGCCTAGATATATATGGAATGTTCTCTCACTCTAACGAATATACTAACTCTAACTGGAGGAAACATGGATTTCGGTTGGGATTACTGGGAATATGCCTCCCATTTTGTTGTGTTTTTATTTCTTTTGAGAGTGATTGATAGGGCTGTGAATGAAATGAGAGGAGGGGAAAACGCAGTTACGGAAATAGTGTTTTTTATCTTCCACTACTGCCTTTGAGATAATTAAAGGAGCTTTAAACGAGAAGCGGAAAGGCTTTTGAAGCATGAAAGGTAAGTGGTGGTGGTGAGCGTGCCCTCGTTTGAATATTAAAAGGGAAGAAAACTCAAAGACACCTTTCTTATCTTTTTGGAACCAGAAAACACAAACATATATATGAAAAGGAAAAAAATGTGGCCATCAGAAAGGAGGATTTGGATGCATAGAGTGAATAAATATATATTAGGATATATATATACATTGAAGAGGAGTATGCAAAGGTGTGAGATTCCATACAAAAGAGAGAAGTGGTGTCTGCAGCTGAAGGCTGGCCTGTCCTCTCTCTCTCTGCTGCAACAAAGCTTTAAGTTCAGTGCATTTTACTTGCTCTGTGCTCTTTTCGACGGGATAATAAACAAGTGATTGTTGGAGAAAATAATTGAAGGGTGGGTGTGGGGGGGAGGAAAAGAGAGGGGGTGTCAGTTTCTGCGACGGCTAGTTGGCCGGAGTTTCAGATTCCGGTGAGTGATTGTGACGGAAAGAAAGCAAGAGACGAGGATAGAGGGAGATGGGAAGTGGGTGGGTACTACTTTTATAAAGGAAGAAACCAAGAGGGAGCACATGCCCTTGCAAGATTACGTCCATGATTTCTTTCTTTTCTTTTCAGTATTAAAAGATGTCACCTTTCTTTCTTTTCTTTTTTTTTCGCCTTTTTAACTATGAAAATTTTCAATGTAAGCTTTTCGTATTCATAAAAATAAATGTAAATGATGAATTGAAAAACATTATTAAAAATTAGCATAATTGAAACAAATATGGAACAGGACTTTGTATCTTATACAAGTAAACATGCCCCATTTACATGTAAAATTATAGTTATATGCAAAGAGTTATAATCAAATATCTCAATTTTAATACCAAGGAGCTCCGTATAGTCTTTTTTGGTGTGGCCTCCCAGGAAAATTCTTACATAATCAATAAATTAACAGTGCTTTCATTTTGAATTAGACTCTCGTAGTAGGTGACAGTTTACAAGAAAGTTTTTTTTTTTCGAGTTATTTTTTACTTAGCACAATGTTACAGAATTTTTTTCTCAAAGCATCCAATGTCTTCAATCTGATGGAAGATAGTAGGGTCATAAAAGAAGGAAAAATTTTATCATCGACAATTGAATTATTAAATTTTCATAGTTCAGATTCAAAAACTATAGTAGAAAGTACAAGCCAATTCTAATTGCAGTTATATATACTTTCTTTCTTTCTTTTTTAACTTGGAATGTCAAAACTAATTTTTATCGGTTAGAAATTGTAAGATTAAAGTCTTTCTAATAATTATGCTTATCAAGATTTAAACTTATATGCTTCTCTTTACGAAGTATGACCACTTGTCATCTCAACCAATAACTTGTTAGTTAAGGTTATATATACTTTTTATCAACTGATTAGTGATTGCAACCTTTCACTCTGTTTTTTTTTAATAACAGTTAATTTAAGGTAGTATACATGGAGTACTCTAAAAGGTAATAAAGTAAGGTAAAAAAAAATATTACTTCCAATCCTAATTATAAGATCTTATTTATAGAAACGATGTTTATAATTAGAATCAGAGGTAGTACTCAATAAAGTTATTGAGTAAGATATGTTTCAGTTAACAATCCATCTAAAAATTTAATTGTTGATAGAGTATAGTAATATTGTGTGGTTTTTGTAATCAACCTCATCTAATGAGACAATATTTTGTCGTTACTGAGCAGTGAATTTGAAAGCACATAATTATATCAGCACTGAGTGTGAATTCAATATCTTATTTGTGCGTATTAGAATCCCTGGAATCCAATATATAAAATGAGACGTGGCCCGTGATGAAAAATAATTAGTCGATAACAATAAAAATAACTCAAAATAAAATGAGAGCAAGAGAAACAAATGTGCTCAAGTCAAGTGGGGAAATGATTGGATTGAAGAATGTTACACACAAAACACCAGGCTGCCCCGCCAAAACAAATGATTGAAATAAAGACCAAGTGTGTGTGTCTATATATTCAATCAATACATATTTGTAAGGCCAGAAAGGTGAAAAATGATTATTGGCTTTGGCCTCACATCAGCAGACAAAGATTCAGATTATCACTTCGAAAGCAGTAAATATATTGAAATTTTTTCCTTTTTAAAAAACCAAAGGATCCACATTATTAAGTACACTTTATAGGATTATTAGTGGGGATGTCATGTATTAATATATTTCTTAATAATATAATATCGTCCCAAGGTTTGAATTCTAATCTGTCCTCTTGACTGGATATCAAAAAAAGGGGCCAGGTCTACTTATTAGGAAGCGGGTAAAAACCATTTACTCGTGATTTTATGTGCTTTTAAGACTATTCTTTGTTTCTTTGTTTGTTTTTGTTTTTTTTGAATCGGATGTTCAAACTTTAGATCCTGTAAAATCATGAGAAAATCACTACTTTAAGTTTTGATCTCATAATTTTCCTTGTTCACCGACATTCTTTTTGCCATAAATCCAAACACCAGGTTGGCTATAATCATTACCTAAGAGATTCATTGGTTATTTTTTCGATGGATATTCCTGTGTTTGGAATATTCATCCTCAAAAGAACTGTTAATTATAGTTGCATTATTACCCCCTATTGTATCTCGATTGATTATTTTTCAGTACTATTTACTTTCTTTTAATAAATAACAAATAGTTAATTAATTTTCTAGCATAAAAAGCTTAGGTTAATTTAGTTAAAAGATTTTACCTACTTAGGTAGAAAAACAGTGCTTTAAATAAAAGCAATGTATCAGGAGCACCACAAGCTATTTGTGTATAAAATTGAAATAGCAATTTTGTTATCCTAATTACTATTACTTAGTTTAATTCGATTTTTTTTTAATTTTCTAATTATCATTTTTTTTGTAAATGGAGTAATTGTAATGAAAGAAAATTTTGATTGAATCCCCACTCTGAATATCAGCCTACCAACAACACAATGTGACGTTTTAAAGGCACAGAAAAAGAATCAGAAAATTTAATTTTTCATTATAATTTTGATTTAATACGACCCAATCTCCTAAAATTTCAACCATTTAAATCTTTAGATAACATTCATGAGATATATAGTTTGATTTTCTGAAATATAAGGAGTAATAGTATTTTGAGTGGTTAGAGAGTGGCATTAATTGTCCAAAATTTGCAAATTGAGCTGTGAATAAATCAAAATTATAAAAAAAAAATTTATCAAGTCAAAAATGTAATGATTGAATTACAACTACATGAACCAAAAAAGATTAATTTGGCCAATATAAAAGAAGAAAAAGACAGAAACATGAAGGGAGGGGGGGGGGGTTGTACTTTGTAATAGAACTATAGAAGCAGACAAATATTCCCCTCGAGTCTCTCTAAGCACCTTTTCTTTTCTTTTCACGTAGCTTCTTGTCCTCACATATCCCCTCGCCCCTCCGTGTGCCTTCGCACCTGCAAATGAACCAAAATAACAAGTCCCATCAAGCTCAAAAGCATATATAATGGTTCTTCAACATGATGATGACATGTGCTTTTATATACATATATATATATATATATATATAATCATAGAGTTCTTGAACATACATAAAAGCCAGCTGGCTGCTTTCTCCACCTTAACTGTTTCCTGTTGATATATATATATATATATCTATTCACACTAACAAAAAAGAACTAGGGTTGAAACAAAGCAAGCGTACGTGGTTGTGGGACATATATATGAAGCAGGCGGACTAAGCCAAAACAGTGAGCAAAAGGAATGTGTATATATATATATATATATATAATTGGCCTTGGAATAGTTTGCACAGACTGCTACGTACTTGAGCAAGGAGCTTATATTAACACTGGAGGATAGAGATCAGAGCAGAGAAGGCAATAACATGACAGAGACCAATGTACAAAGGCAAGGGTGGCCATTCGTTAATTAAGATTCCTTTTTCTTCCTATGTGGTACTCGTCAATACAACCAAAAACCTCACTTGTTGCTTAGTTATTCGTATCCTACTACTACTATGTTTCTGTGTAATGACCGGATTCGCATCTTCTATGTACTGTCAAAAAACTGAAAACAGTATCGTCTGATTGTTGGCAAGCTCCATCAAAAGGTTAGCTAGGAATGTGACGGGTATGACTCTATTTGTGAAGAACAAGCATGATTATGCTAATCCCAGGTCATCAGCTTCCCATGCATTGACGCTATTATTGTAAAGCTGAGTTGATTAGGATTTGATTATGCGTGATGAGAGAATGGGCCTTGCTTTTATTGATAAACTGATGAACGCTAAATTTAAACTATTCAAATTAAAAGTAAATTGTCCAGATCAAATTTAATATTATTTTTATATGCATAATAACTTTTTTATTTTGATTGATTGAAAATAAAAAATAAAAAATATCTTTTAAATATCACTTTATTTTTAAAAAAATATTTATTTAAAGAATTGCAAAATAAGTGCTCATCGGAACAATGAATCCTGATGAAATGAAATGGGCTGACTTCTTATTGGACCACAATATTGGGCTGGATCCACCGTCGTCCCTCTACACTTCGCGGAGTGTCACAAAGGCCCGCTAGCTTTTATTTTAGGGAGAATGACAACAAGGTCCTAAGTAAAAAAAACAATTAAAAAAAATTATAGAAGTTGTCATTTTCCTTCCACTATAGGACTTGTCATTATAGATTATTGAGATTGTTATTAGGACCTTTTGATAATTATTTCTCTTTTGTGAGACTTGATTGTAATTCTCTTTTTATTTTATTTGATCTTTCTGGCTACATCTACGTACCCAAAAAATAGAAAAGGAAATGCACTACTCTTCCATATCTAATTAACTAATTTGAACATATTAAAGATATTAATTAAATTAGTTATTAGTTAATATGATATACTCCTCTAGTCTTTAATATAAAATCCATTTAACTAATTTGATTAGATTAAGAAAATTAGGTAAATTAGTTAATTATAAAAAATATGACATATTTTTACTAAAATGCCATAATCATATTTCTTAATACCCCATCTTCCTCCTCTACTTGATTATGTTTAAGGGAGTATCCATAGGGATAATTTAGAGAAAATTGATAAATATGTCTTATATTTAAGACCAAAACTAACTCAATAATTGAATCCTATATTAAGGACCAGATTAATGTATATTTTTTAAAACATTCTAATCATTTTTTTTTAAAATTTTCTCTCTCTCTCTCTTTTCTTTTCTTTTTTGGATACGATTCTCTCTCTCTTCTACCTGCCTATATTAAATACCGGCAAAGTAGCATATTTGGAACCACCCATTTTTAATAAATTAGAATGGCAGATACTGATATCGAGAGGTTACAAATTATTTGCGAGATTGAATACGCAATCTTTCATAAGATTAATTTAACTATTTGGGACAGCACTTAAAACACCTCAAATGCACAGGATCAATATAAAAAATGCATTTGCATTAATATTGGAAACACAAAATCAAACACACATGTAATTATTATTAACTTTTTAAACTAGTTTTAAGCTTATACTAAGACCATGGTACCTGTTTGGAGCCACGCTTAAGTGGCTTTTAAATTGCTTTTGATTTTTAATATGTTAGTGTGATTGGAAGAGCTTAAAAAATTAAGAGTTTATGCTAAAATTACATATTTAAGTCAAAAGCTAAAAATTGCAAGTTATAGAATTGAAAAAGTGGAGAGAGAAAGACAAAATATGGGTTCTATTTTTTTTTTTTAATTCAAACAAACTTACTTTTATTCAATTATAATCTAAATAATCTTTTACTAATCTCATTTTTACAAAATAATTTTTTAAATTCCAATCCAAATACAATTTATCTTATCCAATTTAATTTTATTTTTTAAAAATCATATTAAAAATAAGTTATTTTTTTCACCACCAATCCCAAACGAACCTATGCATCCTCACGTATCCTTACATACATCATAAGAGGCGGCTTTATAAATAAATCTAGCCTTCGGGGACTGCTCTTGCTAACAATAAAATTATAAGGTTTTCTTTAAAAAAATTTGAAGTATGGGGACTTAATTGAAAACAAGAATAAAAACATAGGATTAAATATTGATTAATTTTTCTCGGCAAAAGCTATTTCCGGAGGATATTGGGCGTGAAGACTGAAGAGGGGCTAGGTGCGGTCATTGACAGCAGGAAGGCGAAGACGGAGTAAGGGAAGGGCGAGGACTGGGCACAATGACGATTGACGACGAGAGCTCCATATACGTTGGCGGTCTTCCCTATGGTGCCACAGAAGATACCATCCGCACCGTCTTTGATCTGTATGGCGCCATTCTTGATGTCAAGGTATCTTGCTTCTCTATCTACTTCCGCACCTTCGCTGGCCCATCTTGTATCATTCCTGTAATTTGGGTTTGAACCAATTAGGTTTTTCGCTAAGTAGAACTCTACCAGTCTTTGTTGTGTTGTGACCCGGAGTTGCCATCTTCGGAGATTAATTGCGCAGGATAGTTCAGTTTAATTACGCAGGATAGTTCAGGATAGTTTAATTACACAGGATAGTATTCTCACATGGACGCGGCTGTCAATTTCTTCTCCTTTTGAGCTGAGCTGTTTTACCAACTTCGATTCGATTCTGATGCCGTCGGCATGCAACTTGTGGCATCGAATTCATTTGTCTATGCTTTAGTCGTTGTTTGTTTTGTTGTGCTGTACATGGAAAAGATGATAATCTAGCTACTTAGTACCGTTATTTGCTGCTTATACGCGTGGATGTTTTGTGGATTGGGATTATTGAATCAATTTTTCGGTTCAACTGGCAGATTATCAATGATGTCCGGACTAGGGGCAAGTGCTACTGTTTTGTAACTTTCACAAATCCTCGATCAGCATTTGATGCAATCAATGACATGAATGGAAGGGTATGAAGTTGCTAATTTATCTTTCTTTTTGTATATTTTATGATTGAATTAATCATAAATTTGCGTCTCTATGTTTTCTGAGCATCTTTATTGTCCTCCTTTCATGATTTTAAAGGGGAAGTCTTAGAGGTATCTACTTTTGATTTTTATGTTAAAATGTATAGACTTTTGATCTGCTATTGCTCTGAATCAGACCATTGATGGGCGTGTGGTTAAAGTAAATGGGGTGAGGACGCGAGGTGGAAGATCAAATTTTGGTCGAGAACTTATTCATCATGACACTGATAGGAATGGAGACTGGGATCGTGGTAGAGATCAAGATCCTGATTATAATCATGACAGGGACAGGCACAGGAATCGAAGTAGAGGTTGGTCTCGAGAGCGTGATAGATCTCGAGAGCATGATAGGTCTCGAGGCTTTGACTATGAAGGGGATAGAAGATATGAGCATGGACGTTATCATGATCAAGAAAGAGAACCTTTGCATGTTAAAGATCGAAGTCAAGAGAGACATCAGGATGATGATGAGCAAGAACGAGGCAAAGTAGTTGGTCAAGCTGTGCAAAGAGACTATGACCTAGATTATGACACAGACAGGGAGATTGACAGGACTTATGATCCTGACAGAAGTTTTGATGGGGATAGAAATGAACACTCAAGGAGAAACAATGGGTTAGCTCACCTCTACTCTCCTTCCTTCCCTTTTGTGACTTTGCAGCATGTCCCTTTGCATTGCTTAGATATTTATTATTGCTGCATTCAAATTGAAAACCACAAGAATGAGAGCTCATCTTCCCTTCTTTAATGAACACTCAATTGTCAATGTACTTGAATCTTTTGGCCTGATACATCCTTAACTGTTTCCAATTCCTAAGCAAGAATAAAAGCTCATCTTCAGTGCTTCATCTAGTTACTGTCAGGTTTTTGTGGTTTTGGCATGATATCGTTGACAGTCCTAGAAGAAAATAGAAAAATTTATGGTAGGAACCTTCTAATACTCGATGTTATCAGAGATTGTGCAGAGCTATGTTCTAATGAGACACGTGTATTTTTGTTGTAATTTTCATTAAATCACATTCGGTGAATTTTTTTAATACTATTATATGTATATGCATGCGAGCACGCTTTTGTGTATAAGCAATGAGTTAATTGCATGATTTCTCTTTGGGGACAATTATAAATATTTTGAATCTGTATGAGTACCTTTGGTCCTGGGTCATTTCTAAATTAGCATGGTGGTGTTTTACATAATATATGAACCACCATGAAAACTATGGTCCTAATTGTAATGAACGGAGGGCTGTTTTGGGGATGTCTTTTTGACATACTGTTGAAACTAGTGAGAGATAGCTTAGTTTTAATGCTTGCCTTTGTTTTCTTTTCACTAGACAAATTTCTGTTCGCTCTGCAGATTAAATGTTGCCAAGCGACCTAACATAGATTTTTCATCTGACTCAAATGGTAACCACGATGATGAGGTAACTTAAGCATTTGGGAATCCCTGCAGGTGTCTTAATTCTTGGATAAGCTTAAGCTGATTGGGGAACATTTCTGTTATCTTTTCACACGTTTTTGTGGATTCTAGATTGCAGATCAATTAGAGAGGTCAACTCAAAGGCTTGGTCAGCTGAAAAAAGAGGTTTGTTATCTTGGATAACCTAACATGTCGTTTTTTAACTAAATGATCAAGCCTATGTTCTTAGGCATCCTTCTGAGGGGGTGACAAATTATGGTTGGTTTTCATCAATTGCAGCAATTGTATTTTTGGGGGGATTAGCATTTTCTCGTTAGAGTAATCCACAATTTTTAGTGTTTTGAAATGCTGTTTTAGGATGCCATTACTTGAAGGATTAAAAAAATTCTAGTAATCATGTTTGAACCTTCCATTTGTTGTCTTCGGTTCTGATGTGTTATAATAGTTCAGGAAATTGAAATTTATTGGTTTTTCAGGTCTCTCAGTTGGAAGAGAAGTTACAAGAGAAACGATGTCTTGTAGTGGATTTACAAAAGCAATCTAGGGTGCGATAGCCCTGTTATTAAGCATTACATTTCTTCAATTATCTGCTTGCTCATACTTGAACAAAAAAATCTGTCTTGACCAAGAAGATGTTAACTGCTGCAGAAACTGGAGGATGCATTAATTAATGCAAAGAAACATTCTTCATATCGTCAGATGCAATTGACCAAGGTAATCACCAGTAAAACTAGTTACGCGTAAGCTACTTTGAATTATCATTCTGATGTCTACTTCATGAATGCTGACACTGGGTTTGCGAAAATCTTCAGCTGCACAAATGCTTTATGCAAGTGAAAGAGTACACAGAGCGACTAAAAACCTGTGAAAAAGAACTTCAGGTTGGTGTAATTGTTCAAATTATATCCTGTTTTGCGTTGTTTGTTTACCTTGAAGACTAGAATTGTAGTGAACATATATTGTTAAATTTATTTCTGGCGGTGTAATGATTTTAATCCATCTGGAAATCTAGTTGCTCACTTCCCATTGAACTTCTCCTCTTTCCCGCGCAACGTCTCAAACGGATGTGAATATGACAGTGTACTTATGCTGGTCAGTGGTGGCTTACATTTACATGCTTTTTTTTTGGGCATGCAGACTATGGTTGATACGGCAATGTTAGAGAGTGATGGTGATGGCGAAGCTGTTGGCTTAAAGGATGCACAAATCATGAGTGGATATGTATGATCTCTGGTTGATGCGGCATTGAGTTGTCGCTGTGCTGAGTAGATTGTATTTAACTATCATGCTTAAGGTCGTAGCAGTGATAAGTAAAAAGCATAAAATGCATCATCCTTTAGTTATAAATCTGACGAAATTTTTGTTCACAATTTTATGTCAAGTTCAATGGACAAAAACTTGTACTTGTTGCTGTGATCTGCGATGTATAAATTTTGAACAAGCTGTATTTTTATTCTGGGGCACTCGTAATCTTGAGCCTTGACTGTTTGTTGATGCCATCCAAAGATAGATGGGGCCAAACCTTTCCACGCATCCAATCCCAAATACCAAAGCTACCCCAACTTTTGGCCCGTGGTTTATCTATCTTTGATGAAACCTTGAAGTTGTATTGATGGGCATAAGAATTGGACTTTGTCCCCCTTGATTCAAGGTCCCCCCCCCCCCCCTTTTGGGGACACTGTAGTATACTATCTGGTTATCAACGCCCTTAAAATGGAGGTAAGTTCCACTTTAACTTTACCAGTGAGGGATTATTTCTTAAACAAGAACTAGGGAAAATTTGTGCGTATCACAGGGTTTATATATTTCATAAGATAACAAAATACAATTTTTTCAACGTTGGGAAACTTAAAAATTATTATATAGTATTGTAAACATTAGATGTACTTTTTCGTTTTAAATCTCAACTGCATCCTGCGGGTAGCAAAAGGCGTAGCCGGAACCTTGAAAGTAACGGATTGGGAGCACCCCAAAACTTAAAAAGAATGACCCCAAAAAATAAAGGATTGCGAAAAACAGGTGAGTAAATAGAGAGTGACTTAGGGTGTGTCTCTTTTGTGTCGCAACCCAATAAGAGTGGCAGGAGGCTATGCCCAACCATTGGTATCCTTCTCTGCTTCTGCTACATCACTAAAGTTGTACTAATTTTGTACCCAAAAAAAAAAGTTATACTAATCTACTATACAAATTTGCATTCTTAAAAGGCAACTAGGCAGATCTCATTTCTACAAGTTCAATGTCCCGCACTAAAGAAAATTATCGTCCGTGAAGTTTTTTTTTTTGGGGTAAAAGTTTAAATTAATTTAAAAACTAGTTAAAGGTTTAATTTAATATTAAATATAAGACACAAATCTACTTTATTTCTAATATTTATTTATTTTTTTCTCAAGTAATCTCCATGGTAATTGTACATGTTAAGTTGTTTTCATGAAAAAGATGATTAAATGCATATTAGTGGTATGGATATTTTAGAAGAGACAATATTCATTTATAATCTGACTTGAATAAACTCAACTTAATTGAGACTAACGTGACTTGATATATATTAAAAAAAATAATTCTACCCTCGATCCTTAATATAAAAGCTCATTCTACTTTTATTTTGGTCATAAATATAAGACCGTAATCTATTTTGTTTTTCATATTTATTTATTTTATAAGATAATCCTTATAATAATGATAGATTTAGCCGATATACTTAATTAATAAAATATTTTAGAAAATACAACACATATTTATTACAAATAACTAACTTAACTAATTTTTTTAATCTTAATCTGCTCAAATTAGTTAACTAGCTCTTATGTTAAGAACCGGATGTAGTATATAGTAAGACGAGAGAATTGCATAATTGGTTAAATTGATTAATTAATAAGCATTGAGCCTTACCATGTCAAGATCTAACCGGACCAGAACCTTGTTAAGGTTAGTACTAACGTAGGCATGGGATCAGGTTCAGGCTAATAGTATAATGTTTGTGCCTATGGATTATGGAGTAATGTTATAGGGGGGCCGGAGATCATGTACTGGTTTTATCCAACTATAATTAATTTTATTATCTTTGGGGGTTCTGGGGAGTTTATTAATGACTAATTGCTTGATTTATTCGGATAATGACCCTGCTGAGGTTTCATATGAAAGCGGCCTACCTAACTTAAAACTCATGTTAAGCAAAGAATAAAAGTGTAAATCAACTTTTTCCCATATATAAAGTTTGGAAATTGATTCTCTGCCTATGGCAAATCCCCAGTTTAAATATAGAGGTTTTCATTATTTTATTCTCAAATAAAAGCAACACATGAATTTTTTTTAAAAAGAATTTACCCTTTTTGCAATAAAATGATGTTGAGCAAAATTTAATAAACTGCTTTCTACATACACAGAAGAAGTTTTATTCGCTCGGTTTTATACATGATCATTGGTCATCATCTTGAAGGAAAATAGAAAAGAAAACCAGAAAAAGACAGAGAGGGACATAGATGGAATCCAATAATAATTTTTCCTAGTAAATAACACATGAATGCATACAAAACAAAATGAAACAAAACAAACGTTCACTTTTATGCCTTTTTTACCCTCTTCACATCCATACATGTACACATATGTAGGTACCTAGTAATAATAAAGTAACGCCGTAAGGATATTTGCTTCCTTTTCTTCGCATGTTGAATGAATAATAATAATGCTGATAACAATACTTGACCATTCATCGTCGCCATGCATCTTCAGAGAAAAAAAAACCCTAATTCTGAATATCCCGTAAACCCTAGAATTTCAGAGTTGTCTCGGTCCGACTACCCTCTTCTCCTTCTTCCCTCAGTGCCGCCAGCCCTTTCCTCTCCCCTTCGTTCTCCCCGCTATCTTCCTTCCAGCTGCTGCTCTCTGACTTCCCGCCCTCTATACTCTCGGACCTCTCTCCCCCTCCTCGCATCTCCGATTCCGGCGAGCCCTGGTGCGAATTCGTTTTGTACATCTGCATATGGTGATGGAGCAGCGTGTGGTAGTGCGGCGGAGTTGGCTGCTGCGCCGCCGCGGCAGCGTAGAATTCTTGGTGCACTGGCGTTGTGGTGCAGTAGTGCGGCGGTGGAGGAGGGTGGGAGGTAGGGTGTGGGCTGTAGATGGCAGGTGCGCCAGTGTGAGCGGCGGCAGAAGCGTATTCCGGCGGGACCCAGATTCCTCCTAGGACTACAAGCTGAGGTGCGGGTGACCCGGCTGCTTGTGGGCTTGGACTGGGACGTCGTGTATGAAGCCTGTATTTCTGTGCAACGACAGAAGAAAAGAGAAGGATGAGTATAACGGGAAAAGAAAACTCACAAACCAAAAAAGGTGTGTTTTGGAAATGCAGAATATACATTCTGCAGCCTGCAGAGTGGTACGTTGTCAGTGAGGCTGGCAAGGCAATTATAATAGTACAAGAGGGCAGTGGGCTCCCTCTTTCATGCCTGTCCCGCGTGTCCACGCCTGAGAAAGAAAGTGAGTCTGAGAGATAGAGAGATACCTGGAGATGGCTTTTAACTTCATCATTGGTCAAACCGTCAACCTTCATCAGCTCCCTTATCTGCTTTGGGGTGGCCACTGAAAACAGAAAAGAAAAGGAAAAATCAAAGTTGTTACTTGCATATGATAGCAGTAATGATTATCAAAATAACTAGACTACTTGATTGTCCCAATGATTATAAGATGGGTTATGTAATATGCAGACACACGCACACACGTATGTATGTATATGAAAATTTTAATTAAACTTTTTATACCTTGAGATCCACCTAGCATCTGAAGAGCATTTACAAATCGGCGGTGCAGGTCAGGTGACCAGCATCTTCTTGCCTTCCTATGAGTTTGATTAGTGGTGTTGGTGGTGCTGGTTGTTTGTGGATCAGACGCAACTGGAGTTCCTTTTCCTTGATCGGTGATCACTCCAGTACCGTTGCCTCCTGTGGCTTTACCAGAATTTTCCCTCTTGGGACATGACACTGCATTTTCTGTTTCTGTGCATTTCTTGTCCTCCATTTCTTTCTCAACAGAGGCGAGGGCCAACTCGGGGATCACCCGTAATGTGGAGCCACTTTGGCATGAGTTTCGTTCTTTTGAGAATGGCAGGAAGGCTCCACCATTCCTCTGTTTGTTGTCAAGAGCGAGCTTGGGGCTTACACTGAAGCCAATATCAGCTTCTTTAGGGGATGTAATTGTGGACTGGGGCTTGGTTCCTTCATTTGCTTGGCTCCATAATTGAGCAGATGTCATCCAATTTGCCTTGTCTGATATGCTGGATGCCTTCTCAGAGCTTTCTGAGTTTGACTGCTTGATGGGTATGAATTCTTCCAGCACTGGTCTCGTGCCTTGATCTGCTCTGTAGGCTTGAAGTTGCTGCCTTGAGGCCTCCATAGCTGTCCAAAATTAAATCATAATCATGGTAACTGAATCAATCCCATATGCAAAAGAAGAATGGAAACACAATAAAGAAAAAGGAAATAATTTGCATGATATGTTGCTATCCAGAACAAGTAATTGCCTGACTACTTTTGCATTCAAAAATAAAGCCTGAGAAATGATTTTCCACACAGATAAAGCTATCGCCTACTTCTATCCGACGAAGGAGAAGGAAAAGGAAAAGAAGAGGAAGAATAGATAGAACAAGATAAAGAAAAAGGTTGATTTTAATCGCCACTGGGAAGATCAAAAGAATGAATATACCACCAGTTTGATAGTATAATCATCATGGTATTGAATCTGCGGTAAGGTTTCTGATTCTGTGTTTAGTTTATTGGAGGCTTCTGAATTTGTTAATTTTCATGTGCATGACAAGCCCAATATGAATGATCATTCAAGGTGTACCGTTGGTAAGAAGCTGCATGCAGAGAGGAAGCTCGCGCTTGAAGGCATCAATCTTGAGACGTTCTTCCTCAAGCCGAGAAAGGAACTCCTCAAGCTTGTAGGTATGATCTGCCTGATCTCCAAATGATTTCAGAAGCAAAGAATAGCTGTGGGGTTTGCAATCCAGGCTTAGTTCAGACGGCGAAGCCATTTTTTTCCCACGTACAAAAGGTAAATATCTCCTAACAATCACTGTATGAGACGATGTTCATGCCAAAATAGGCGCAGGGTGGTATGTAGGAAAAAACACGAGCAAAAGAGGGTATTTGGCCTCTTCCTTTCTTTGTTTGAGTCTGGTGGGGACGATATAGAGAGAGAGAGAAGGGAGGGTGGAGATTGTTTGTGAACACAAGGAGGATCGGGGAGGATCGTCTTCTTTTTAGGGTGAGTTCAAGAGGGAATAAAGCAGTGTTAGAGAGAGAGAGAGAGAGAGAGACAAAAGAAAAAGCAGAAGATAAAGCAGAGGGATGTAACTTCCTACAAAGAACCAAGGCAAAAGGGGGCAAAAGATTAAAAAAATGAGAGAGGTGGTGTGAGAGAAGGAATCAGTGAGCCTGACATTAGAGGGTCATGTGCTTAGAGCCTGGTTTAAGAACCTTTGAGTAGTCTTTGTACGAATTCAAAATCTCACCAATTTAAAAAGATGATTCTTCTTCTTACTGTTACCCTCCTTTTTTTTCTTTTAATCTTTCTCTCTTTTATGCCCATTGCTCTCCTTTTTTCCTTTCTAATTATAAAGATTTATGTGCAAATGAAACTCGGATTCTCCTTCCTGCCAATTTCAAATCAAATTAAAACTTCATTAACAGTGAATCATTCTTGTGACTTTATTTTTCCTTTTCCTTTTCCTTTCCCCTCTGTTCATTATTCTTCCTATTCGAGACTGAATTTATTCAGTGAATGGATATCCAAAATTTTGGTTCAAAGGTCTCTTTACATACAATATTAGCTGTCTTAAAGGATATCATCTATATTGAATACGGCTGTATCTGGGAGCTGGATGCATGTTTAAGGTGTCAGGTCTTTGTGAAAATCTTAGATTCTTTGCATGGAACTGTATAACATAAATTGATCAAAACTCGCACAAATTTCTAGCTGGCCGCAACACCCGAAAAGAGAAAGCGACCAAGAAAATATGTGGGAAAAATCAACAGTTATGGAAGATGCTGGCCAGATGTATGGCAAAGCAGTACTTGTGGGTGTCCTTATTGATGTAAGAGCAGAAACTAATGATTCTAGCATGATTAATTAATGGCAAAGACTTTGTGGGGAGCATATACCACGCAACATGATTTTGCCATTAAGTTGAATAAAGATAAAGAGGGGGGAAAAAAAGAAGAAGGCAAGAGAAAGCACATATTCAAATAGGTTTTAGTATCAATCCACCTTGCAACTTTACTATTCCTTTTTTTTTTTTTTGAGTCCAGAAAGTTGCATAATTGTCCTGCATGAGGTTTAGTGCATTGATCAGAGAGAGAAGAACGATGGGGGAGGGGGGGGAGGAATATCTAATCTCAGGAAAAAAAAATGAGACATTCATCATAAAGAATAAAATATTTTTGCCCCTAAGGAAGGAATATCTTAGTTCCAATTCTCCGATTCTAAATTAAGGGAGCACAGGCCACGAAGCTTAAAGGAAGAGTAAAATAAGATTTTCAAAAAGGAAATTACCCTCCAAGAGAGTGATAAAGGAGGCTAACCCAGGAGAATCTTCTTCTGCTACTAACTTTAGTGAAGTGGGCAGGAAGGTAACAAGATTCTCTTTTCGTTACAGATATATATATATATATATATATATATATATCTATGGGTCATGAGATCCATCCCTATTCGGGTCGGATCATTTGCTTTCTTTTTTTTTTTTTTTTAAAATTTTTGGTGGGGACAGTCCATATGTATTTGCTTGTTTCTTGTGTCGGGGTCACGCCTGCTTGATTCCCCTGAGGATTATCACTGAGCCAAACATGACATGTGTCTTCCTTTAAATACCATAGTGTAATTACTGATAATTGTCTTGCTTTAACTGCATATAAAGACTTGTCTTTATCTGAAAATCAGATAAATTCAATTAACATATATCTACAGCCCATATAATACATTTTATATATTTATTGATGTGAGCATTTGAATCCTAATTAACATCTGCTTCAGCTTCGCTGCTCTTCATATAGCACCTGGAATTTCCCAAATTGGATATGTATGGATACATCGTACGTATAGCCCATGCAAATACATAATCATCCTTCGTTTTTCCACACGAATATTGTGTCACATTATGAATATGCTATACATAATTATGTATTTAATTAGTGCTAAGTAATTCTCTTTTTTTTTTTTGTCCAACACCAAAAAGTGAATTACTGTTTTGAATTCGCATACGTGACACATATACATATTGGGGCCTGGAACTGGAATATTCATGTCCATTTCAGACGTAACAAACTCTGGTAGACACAAAAAGGGCGTAGATGAGGGATGTTATAATATTTTAATTAAATTTAATCACATGTTAATTATAAGAAATACTCATCAGTCATGGCATGAACTAACCTTTTTTTTTTTTTTTACAGTTAGTATAATAAATAACTGTTTTCTTCCCCACAATTGATCCTGTTTTGGAGGGTAAATTTGTTGGGAGATCTGAGTATATACGAACCGTATTAGGGCACATGGGCCAAGAAGATCCGTGTACGATTCATTCGGCTCTAACTAATTTGATCCGATTCCCCGATCCAATCTTTTTTTTCTTCATTGGAATTCACTTGTTTAAAAAAAAAACAGAGAATATCTTAAAGTATATGTTTAGTAATAAAGATAAATGCCAAGTGATTTGAAAATGAGGGAAAATAAAAGGGGAGAAAAAAAGGAAGAGGGCATCGAATTCCTTTGAGAGGCAATAATGAAGGGGGTAAGTTGCTTACTTGCTTTAGAGTGAGTCTTGTGCGTGAAGCTACGCTCCAACCCACACCTTTTCTTCGAAGGGGGAAAAAATAAAAAGGCTTTTAAAAAAGAAAGTGAAAAGAAAGAGGACAACATCATAAGGGCGACACGTGTCACTCTTATTCTGCCATATCGTCCTTCTGAATATCCCTTTTGTCTCTCCCGGAATATTCTCCTACTTCCACCTTTTGCTAATATACGAACTTACGGGTCACAATTTTAATTCATTGCTAATCATCTTGGTTATCAAAATTGTGAGTCTTGACATCTTTTTCGTATTGCGAAGTGAGGTCATTGGAGAAGGTTTGAGGACTTTGACAATTCTTAGGGCTGATTTGGAGTTGCTCATAATAAGTATTAATTAGTATATTCATACAGATCGAGACAATTTTTTTTCCTGTACTTATTTTATATTCTATAAATTGTGATTTAGAAAATATTTTTAAAAAGTCCTACCGTCATTCCAAACAAGTATTTACACGTTATTCATTAATAAAATATTTTTTATAAGATATTCATGAACAAGATTTTCACATCAGTAACCAGCTTTAAATGTGCTTATATATAACTCTACGTAACTTGTGTTGATGAGTGAATTTTTCTTCCTCGAATATATGTACAACTGCACAATGGTTAACAATTGTAATTGTTGATGGAATAATTTACTGTAACCACTGGCAAAAAATGAAGCATTAGAATACATAACGGAACAAAGATCAGATCAAGAGCATTCGATTTGACCGTATTAATTGAACATGTTGGCCCGATTGATGGAGATGTAAGGCTCGGCTCCATTTAATCTATGCATAGTGTCAAACACTTTGATGAGCATATATCTGTTTGAGAGAGAGAGAGAGATAACAGTATTGTCAGATCTTTGAATATTTGTCCTTAAAGTGCAACAAAAATTAAAGTGGCAATGACATCTCAATTTCAATCTCAACATTTCAAATTGGGATTTGGAATGATAAAGTGGCCAATGCGCGATAGCAAAAGTCCAATGAACTAACTTAGGTCAAGTCCTCATCCAAAAAACAAGAAAAGAAAAGAAAATTTTCACTTATATGGTTTGATTTAGTTGCACATATTTACCCACCCTCCTTAAAAGTGGGAATTCAAGCTCCACGTGACAAATTTATGTACTACCTCCTCCGGTTATTAATATAAGAGCTCTTTGATTTTTATTTTGGTTCTAAATATAAGATCATAATTTACTTTGTCTCTCATATTTATCTATTTTTTTCAAGATAGTCTTTATTATAATGATAATTCTAATCAATACATTTGATTACCAATGATATTTTAAGAAAGACAACACCTATTTGTTACAAATAACTAACTTAACTAGTTTTTTTAATATATTCAAATTAGTCAACTACCTCTTATATTAAGGACCGGAGTTAGCATATTAGTGAATGTAAATAAGTAGATATTGGAGCGTTTGTTTATGATTATATTAACTGTGCCAAATGGTTTTAATCTTCAACCATTCATTTGAATATATATATATATATATACACACACACACAGTTAAATAAAATGCTTGTGCTGTATCAATTTACAATAACTTTTGATTTAATAATAAACGATAAATGCATGTGTTTTTATGTTTTATTCATCATATACGTGTGAGAAGCTATTAACTAAAGTAATTAACTCAAATATTTAAATTATTTCTTCAGCTAATTTTCTCTAGGAACAATGTATTATCATTGTCTTTCCTAATACTCCTCCGGTCCTTAATATAGGACCCAATTGTTGAGTTGGTTTTGGTCCTAAATATAAGACCCATTTCTCATATTTATCAATTTTCTCTAAATTACCCCTATAGATATTCTCTAAACCATACTCAAGTAGAAGAGGGAGAAATGTATTAAGAAAGATGATCATGGTGTTTTAGGAAAACTGTCACATTTCTATAATTAACTAACTTACCTAACTTCCTTAATCTAATCAATTAATCAAATGGGTCTTATTAAGGACCGGAGGAGTACCTTCAATGTTTCATTTCTTTTGTTTTTTTTTTGGTCTTGATTTATTGCAAATAGGGTAGAAAAATATTGGGGATAATGCTTCTGAGTGGAGAATTATTATTTTCTCTATTTTCAACAGTCTTCATATGCTTTCAATTCTTAATTTCAAAAGGAAAAAAATGGGGAAGTTAAAATTTGATATCATAAAAAATATAAATAAGAAAAATGAGTGGTTGGCTTTTTTATAATTCGCATCTATATCTTTGCACAGTTTAGTTGAAGTATTCTTTTGAAAATATTAAAATCCATTTGTCTATATACTGACGATATAACAATGTGGATATGCTACTTCAATTTTGTTATAGACAAGTATTGCATTTACATAGCTTCAAAAAGAAAATTGGAATCACACTTTGATTATGCACACGCGTGTGTTTGTCGTATTCGATATATTCCCCAAAAAAAAAAAAACACTTTATTCATGATTTTGAAGCCTCCATCTGTATGAGATTTCTTCACCAAAGCTAGCCCAAAAAATATCATAAAACAAAATACATAAATGTCATTAGTTATCTATAAATCTGAGTACTGTGTTTCTATACTATTATTAGGTAAAACATAGTCTTTTTAATTGCTAAATTGACCTTCTAAGTTTAAGTTTAACATTTTAATATTTTCACGTCACAAAATTGTAGGTGGAATAATTGGATCTTCTAAAAAATTAAATTGTTCTTATTATAAGTTATGGTATCAATTGATTTTTTGCCCCCCAAAAAATTGCCTTCCAGTTACCGTTGCCCCTATCTAAGATACCATGAATTGCAATTTTATCACTTCTTCGTGGTATTTAAATATGGGTTAATTCAGCAGTTGGTTTTCACTTGAAGTGCTGCGTGAGAAAATCAAAGATACTGATAGAAATAAGGAACCAGTAATTTAAAAGTGACATATGAGGCAATAAGCTGTAGACGACAATTGACAAGAAACTGGAAATTCCATGACATAGATATTATATTATGTATATATATTCCTATGAATCCACCACAAAACACCTCTCCCGACTCCCAGTTCATGTATATGCCATATTACAAGTGCCAAAATCCGGTTAAACTCGGATCTCACAGGATAATATAATTATGATACAAGAAAAAGTTGATGAAATGAATAATAATGAAATATATAGTATATAAATTTGATAATAATTAATATATATTGGTGGGTGGTCATGGAGGGGAAATTAATTAAAGCCAACAATGATAGGTACGTTATTTACGGGGAATTCACTTCACAGCTGCACTTGTGATGTACACACACACACACACACAGTAGCTAACACCTATTAGCCAGGATTGTTCTTCCATATTCTGCCACTGTTTCTTCCACTTCGAGATTAGATTCTTATACCTTATTTATTTTATAATGATATTTCAAGCTGTTTCCATCTTTGGCCATGTGGGAATTCTCTTCACTTTTTTCTGCATCTTCTTCTCTTCTTAATTACTAATTCATATCTCAATCAACTATACATATATATATATATATATATGTACACGTGTATGCCCCGACATTGGATGTTGATCTGCTTTTTCAAGTGCATGTGAATGTGAATCAACCACCTCGAATGAAAGCAAACAATTAAAGGATCAGTAAAACATAATCTTATATTTAACTAACTCAGCATATGTATGATCAAAGGCAAAGCTAACAATTTATACATATATCAGACGGTGATTATCACAAAGGTGTATATGATTTAATTATGGAGAATAACAGAGGATTGGCACCGAGTTTGACCCCATATATATATATATATAGAGAGAGAGAGAGGGGGGGGGGAATCTGGAGAGGGAAAGCATAAGAGAGTGGAGAATAAGGAATAGAATGGGGATTGGTCGGCCTCTAATGAAAAAGGAAGAATTTGGTTGGGAAAATGAAAGGTTACACTAAGTTAGAGTCACTGAGAAGATTGGAATTTCTATTCTCACTAATTTAAATTATAATTAAATTAAAATATTTGTTGACTCATATCCTCATCCTCAATTCTTTGTGTAAACAGCCAAAAGTACACTTCCCACCATCAACATCAACCTTCTTTTTCTTCATCCAAATTCTGCACTTTCTTCTGTCACTTCCTCCCAGCTTCTCTTCCTCATTTAATATTTCTATAATGACTTTATTAATAAAATAAAATGCATGGTAAGATTTGATGGGCCTAGTGAGTTATAGTTTTGATATGCTTGGGCTGAGCCCAATAAGCATACAACAAACTAACCAAGCCTCTTACTCGTGGACCCGTGGAATATTGGAATTTGTGAATTATTTATCATATTTATTCTTTAATCTCTTTTAATTAAAGTAAAATATAAATGTTTTATTTTAAAAAATAAATTAAAATATTATTATTTTTTGCCAAAAAATACTACTACCTCCTGTCCTTAATATAAGGACTTGTTGACTAATTTGAGTAAATTAAGAAATTATTAAATTAGTTATTTATAATAAATAAGTGTTGCCTTTTCTAAAATATCCTTACTAATCAAGTGTATTGTCTAAACTATCATTATTACAAGGACTATCTTAAAAAAATTAATAAATATGAGAGACAAAATATATTAGGATCTTATATTTAAATCAAAATAAAAGTCAAATAAGGTCTTATATTAAAAAATGAGATAGTACTTACATAATAAATTATTAATTTATTCCGAATTACAGATTATGAAATAAATATTCAGGTAAAAGAAAATATATCACTGTTACTGTTATATAACTCTGTCTCAGACATTATCCATTCGAGGGGAACGATGACCGTTAAACTTTTAGTTGACGAAAATACCCTTCCCGCTCGGTTAGTTGCGGCACTGCAAAATCAATCGGCGCCTTTTTCCTACGTCGTTGCTGCCGTCGGACTGAGCCTCCATGCAATGCATAGCCTGCCTTCCTTTCTCAACCACTACAGCCCCACGATTATCTCGTCTGAAACCCCAAAATACTTTGGACTTTCCTAAAGTCCCGACAAAACTTATAAACCTCAAAGATAATGATGGCAGAAATCATCAAGACTTGCACAAGTCGTACTTTGATTATATGTCTTCATTATGCAAAGATGGGAAAATCCAGAAAGCTCTGGGCTTGCTCACTGAAATGGAATCCAGGAACCTCCATGCTGGACCTGATGTTTATGGAGAAATTCTCCAGGGATGCGTATACGAGCGGGCTCTTTTTCTGGGTAGGCAAATTCATGCTAAGATTATTAAAAAAGGCGACTTATTTTCGAGGAACGAGTACATTGAAACGAAATTGGTGATTTTTTATGCAAAATGTGAGGAACCGGAGGTGGCAAATCGTCTATTTCGTAGACTAGAGAAACAGAACGTGTTTTCCTGGGCTGCCATGATCGGTTTGCAGTCTCGAAGCGGTTTGTATGTAGAAGCATTGTTGAATTACTGTGAAATGCAAGAGAATGGGGTTTTACCGGATAATTTTGTCGTCCCAAATGCGTTAAAAGCTTGTGGTGCTCTGCAATGGACTGGAACTGGGAAGGGAATTCATGGAAACGTCGTAAAGATGAAGGATTTTGATCAATGTGTATTTGTCGCAAGTAGTCTCGTGGATATGTATGGGAAATTTGGGTTTTTGGAGGATGCAAGGAAGGTGTTTGATGCTATGCCTGAGAAGAACGTGGTTGCTTGGAATTCAATGGTTTTGGGTTACGCCCAAAATGGACAGAACGAGGAGGCAATTAAACTCTTTCATTCCATGCGAATGGAAGGTGTCGAACCGACTCAGGTCACTCTATCAGGTTTACTTACTGCATCTGCTAATTTGGAGGCACTAGAAGAGGGAAGACAAGGGCATGGTCTGGCAATTATAGGTGGATTAGAGTTGGACAACATTTTGGGTAGCTCCCTTATTAACTTTTATTCCAAGGTCGGATTGACTGAAGAAGCTGAAATGGTTTTTAGCAAAATAATCATGAAAGACGAGGTGACATGGAATTTGCTCACATCCACTTACGTGCACAATGGGCAGGTTGAGAAGGCACTTTACACGTGCCATCTGATGAGAGAAGAAAACTTAAGGTTTGACGGTGTGACTCTATCATCTTTATTGACTGTGGCTGCAGATACAAGGAATGTAGAACTTGGTATGATTGGGCATGGTTATTGCATTAAAAACAACTTCGAATCTGACTTGGTTGTCTCAAGTGGCATAATAGATATGTATGCAAAATGTGGGAAAATGGATTATGCGAGGAGAGTGTTTAGCTCTACCACAAAAAGAGATATCGTATTGTGGAATACAATGTTAGCTGCTTATGCAGAGCTAGGACTGAGTGGTGAGGCCTTGAGATTATTCTATCGGATGCAAGTAGAGACCGTCACACCAAATGTGATATCATGGAATTCTGTGATCTTGGGTTTCTTTAGGAATGGTCAGGTTACTGAAGCTCAAAATATGTTTTCAGAAATGTACTCCCAGGGTGTTCAACCTAACTTGATAACACGGACTACAATGATATCTGGTCTGGCTCAGAATGGTCGTAATTATGAAGCTATTCTGGTTTTTAAGCAGATGCAGGATGCAGGAATTGGAACAAACAGCATTAGCATAACTAGTGCACTCTCAGCCTGTACAAATATGACATTGTTGAAATATGGAAGGGCAATTCATGGTTATGTTCTGAGACATTATGTTTCTTTGTCTCTTCACATCACGACCTCTATAATGGAGATGTATGCTAAATGTGGAGCTATAAATACCGCAAAGAGTGTTTTCAACATGTGTTCAAGAAAGGAATTACCCGTCTACAATGCAATGATCTCTGCTTATGCATTACATGGTCAAGCTATTGAATCTCTTGCGCTTTTTAGACAAATGGAGAAAGACCCTATAGTGCCAGATCACATAACTTTTACCAGTGTCTTGTCAGCATGCAGCCATGCAGGATTGGTGAAGGAAGGTCTGGAGCTTTTCAAATATATGGTCTCTGAACTCCATATGAAGCCAAGTGCAGAACATTATGGTTGCTTAATTAAACTTCTTTCCAGCCATGGCCAGTTAGATGAAGCTCTTAGGATTATTATTACTATGCCTAGCCATCCCGATGCGCATATATTAGGATCTCTACTTGTGGCTTGTGGACAAAACCATGAGATTGAACTTGCAGGTTATATAGCAAAATGGTTATTAAAATTGGACCCGGGTAATTCAGGTAATTATGTGGCTCTTTCAAATCTGTATGCAACTGCAGGAAGATGGGATAAAGTGTCAAGTATAAGGGGCCTAATGAAAGAAAAGGGCCTGAGAAAAATTCCAGGATGTAGCTGGATTGAAGTTGGACAAGATCTTCATGTATTTGTTGCTGGTACTAGATCACATCCCCAGATAGAAGAAATTCACACCACGTTGAGTTTATTGAGACAGGAAATGGATTCTGCAAAGTTCGTTGACCATAGTACTGAGAAAAAATCCTCCTCTTCTATGTTTCTTTATGATTCCGGTGGAATTGTATGAGTTGCCAAAAATAGGGGGTAACATGGAGAATAAGAAAGTGGCGATTGGCAAGTCTATTGAAGGAAAGGAACTTGAAAGCTAAATCTACTGTCAGATTATGGTAAAAACTTATAGAAGGATGCAAACTCCCCTTGGGATTGACATCATTTTCCCTACACATTAGGCATCGATCCATCAATTGGGAGAATGTTCCATAGGCAAATCTTTCTCAAACAGAACTTGCTGTACTAGGGTATGATGCAATTTCAGATCAAAATTGTCAGGATCATTAAATTTTCCCGGAAAAGGTGATCTAGCTGCAGTGAAAGAGGGATGTTTTCTTGAAGATAGCCTTTCTCTTGTACCATAAATGCTTGAAATTCTAACACATTTCTTTTTTGTTTCTAACAAACTCAAAGTTCAGAAATACTGCCTCCTTTGGCTCTTCACCAGGTCAATAGTTAATAACCCAGAAGAGAGTTGACTAATTGTCTAATAGTAGCTATGAGGAAGTGTCAGAGGTGGCATTTTTCCATGATTGAGAGGCCAAGATTATGAATCCCTTTTCTGAGATACATATACATATTTTGCATTCCCTCTTACCAGTACAGCACTTTAACACTCAATGCCGCTTCGCAGTCACTGAAAATGCTTAGTCTGCCTAACCATGTGCAAAGGAAATTATTTCCAATTTTCCATTCAAAGAGCACAATCAAACTAGCAGTTCCAATGTGCTAAAAGAAGACTAGTGGACTAAGCCCAATATTTGCTTAAGATGTATAACCAGATTTTTTCATTGACTTGCATGACCGTGCTGCACGTTGTTTTTCGAAGATGCGTCATAATGTGGCGACAATTCCTCTATTCAGGTCATGATAACCAGTGACAAGACTAGGAGTCTTTCTTCCTGAGGTGTCACCAAGTCATCAAAAAGAGCAAGTCATGTGAGTGATTCTCTACATTAATGCTGACTTTTTCCCCCTTTCTTTTGTGAAATCCCTTTAGAAGTTAAATTGCTCAAGCAGATGGAAAATTTTGAATGGCCATGGCAGATAAACATGTTCTATATTCAAACTCCATTATTTGAAAAAGGAGAGTTGGGTGAACTACTGGGTCTTCAACTGTTAAGCGAAGTCACATGATGGTGGAACAGCGTGTTGAAAAGGGTTAGTACAGTATACCTTCAGGTCCACCACTAAGTGAAATTCCTTACGATGGCTGTTAGCACTTGGCATTCATCAATTCTTGTTTTTTTCTTTTCTTTTTCTTAAGTCCGTATCCTACATTTGAAGATGTTCCCATTCATAAATTTTATTGCACATCCGATTTATAAAAGATAAATTAAACATGTTAATTATTAAAAGAGATTTAAATGTGTAGCATATCTTTCAATAGAATTTACTTTTGATGTTATGTACATGTCTCTCTGATTGGTTTGATTTGATTGATTTATCTTTTGTAGGTGAAGAATATCTTTTAACAATAAAAGGCTATTTGCCGGTGGAGTGTATCTTAAAGAATTACGTATCGAAGTGAGTCCTTCATATCAAAATGAATTTAACGTTTTTTTCCTAATAAAACTCAAACATCCTAATCACAACTTATAACTCCATGAAAATGAACTCGCCTCGTTTGCTCTTTCACAGTTATGGAAAAAAGTGGTGGTTCGGTTGTTCTAATCTATTGAATAATCAAATCATATTTTGCTATGGTGGTTGTGATGTTACTCTGATACTATTGAATTTGTAATAATGGTTGTGATGACCAGAGTACATATCTTGTAATGTGTTTCTTCTTATTTGTAATCAAACCAACAACCTCTGAACAATGAATACTGGTATTTAAACTCAACTCTAAGATAATTTAACGTTTGAATGTTTGTGCCCGTACTTTCCTACTCATGACCAAGGGCTTGAACATTTGTGGGGGGAAAAAGCTTTCTTCTCTAAGGAGCTTCATAAGTCACCATTATTGCATAGCAGCATATATGTGTGTGTGTGTGTGTGTGTGAGTGTTAAAAACAATGAACTTAGAAGGCAAGAAAGCTTTTTCTTTATGGTGGTTGATGATGCATTGTCATGTGTTCTCTCACCTGTCTCTAACTTTTTCTCATTCTTATTCTTCAGGTAGATGAGCATCATGTGGCGCTGAATGAGGAGTAAACTAATATATATATATATATATATATAAATATTCATGTGTTTCGTGAAGAACACTCTTCACTTGCCAGAGTTATTAGATTTCATTTCCTAGGATGACAAGAGAGCATGTATTTCTGTCAATTTCTTGGGCCAATTTGCAGAGAAGATACAGAATTAGGTGAACAGAATTAACATACGATGAAGCTTTTATCTCATAATCATAGGAATGGGATTGTTTAGAGTTGTTGAACTGTAAAAGTAGAGTTCAATGAGTGTGCCTCTGAGCATCCAATACAATATATACCCCCCCCACCATGTGGCTTTTTGATCAATCCACAGAAACGGGTCTTTCGCTTTATTATTATTATAGCCATACTCTTGTTTTCTTTCTTGGGAGGACCACAAATATTATAATAATAATGAACGATAAAAGTGCTTCCAAGACTTTGCATGTATATTTCTTACTGCCCCTCCAGCTTTTTCAGTGGCACTAATCATTTTTCAAAATACTCTTTTCTGATCCGTCACGTTACTCTGTGATAATTATGTATGTTCTGGCCTTGTTCTCTTTATGCTATTACTCCCTGCCATACTTTCCGTAATGATACACTTGGACAATATAATAGTCTCGTCGAATTATGGTATTTAATTATATAATTGATTTTTGAAATAAATAATCGAAGTTGGTATTTAATATTGAAGTGATGGCTCCAGCATTTGAGGCCCGTTGGCTTCTTTTGTTTCGCTTTGGAGAGGCATCGAAGAGTGAAGTCGTTCTCGAAAAGTAAGAGAAAGAAAGAAGAACGAAGGAGACAGATAAAAAGGGTTAAAAGTAAAAACAAAGCATCTGAGACTCTATGTTTTGCATATGATCCGCTAATTATTCATGTAAATTTGTTTTTACATTTTTCAAGTTAATAAAAAAAACATGTTTTTTTTTTTTTAATTTTCATCATGATAGATATAATGGTAACCAATGACGTATGCCTACTTCACATACTCCTCCGGTCCTTATTATAAGACCCAGTTTGACTTTTTATTTGGTCCTAATTATAAGACCCAATCCATTTTCTCTTTTATATTTATGCATTTTTTTCCAAGATAATCCTTCTAATAATGATAGTTTTAGCTAATATACTTAATTAGCAAGGATATTTTAGGAATAACAACACTTATTTATTATAAATAACCAACTTAACTTACTTCCTTAATCTCCTCAAATAAGTCAATTGGGTCTTATAATTAGGACCAGAGGAGTAATACTTTCTCTTATCCTTAATATAAAATCTTGTTTGACTCTTATTATGATCTTAAATATAAAACCTTAATCTATTTTGTCTATCATATTTATGTATTTTTTAAAGTCAATCCTTCTAATAATGATAATTCTAACCAATAAATCTGATTAGCAAGAATATTTTTGAAAAGATAACATCTATTTATTACAAATAACTAACTTAACTTCTTTTATTAATCTCCTTAAATTAGTCAACTAGCTCTTATAATTAGGACTTAAGGTAGTATAATGTTACACTTAATTATACAAGTGGAGTAAATATAATTATATTTTGGTCTCATTCACAAACAATAGTCTGCTTTCTGTCTTAAATTTATGATAGTTTTTTAAATTATTTCTATTGACGGCATATGTTAAACAAAGAGTTCATATGGGATAATTTCTATTACGACTAATTAGAATGGGTGTCTTGCGAAAATCAATATATATTTTTTACAAATAATAAATTCAACTAAATCTTTTGATTTACATAAATTAGTTATCGAGTTTGTAGAATTGAAACCAGAAAGGGTATTAAACATAAATAATTCAGTAGTATATAAAACAAAATATAGTAGGAAAATGTAAAGTGGAGCACGAAGAAAATCCAGCAAGCGGCAAGACCCAGGCAAAGTCGAGCAAAAGTTAATCAATTAGGACACAACGAATAAAAGCTTCACATACAACAGTCCCAGTCAATGTTTCTTTTTTTTTTTTAAATGAAAAAAATGAAAAATAAAAATCGTGAAAATTGCAAAATCTCAAATTCTGATTTGTTACAATATTTGACAATAATTAACTTAAAAATAATAACATATTTTTGCGAAAATACCTGATTTGTGATTTTGCAATTGCCTTTGTTTTTGTCATCTTTCAAAAAAAGAATCCCTTTTAATCTCAAATTTGGATGCCAATCCCATCCACGTGTCACTTTAAGGCTATTCTGTTGATGATTTTTTTGACCAGCAATTCTGTTGATGATTGATTGGATTTAACAGGGATGTCTGTCATTTTATGAATACTACTTTTACTTGCTATAATTTTTTTTTCCCATCTTTCCAAATAAAATCGTAGTAATGTACTCTTGGGGGATGCGGATAGCTCACGGCGAGTAAATTTTTATTCATGAGATTCAAAGCGCAATCTTTAGAGAGAAAAAGGGATATTAATTTTTGGCTTTCATTTTCATTTTAATTTTTTTGTTGTCATTTTATGAAGTCGCAGGGCCGTGAAGCATGAAATGACTTGAATAATGGAACATCAAGAAGAGAATAAAAGATGCAATAATAATGAAGAAGGGATGGGAAGAGAGAGAAAGTGAGAAAACGCAGGAAGTGGGGGTATAATATGGCATCTTCGTGTGTGTTCATTTAAAATGATTCATGAGTAATTTTTTAATCATAATTTATAAAATATGAGATAAATATATGAGTAGAGTTTTATGCTAATGAAACGTGTTTATAAGTCATTTTTAATGTAATTTCAAGCAAGGCCTGTATTCTCTCGCAAAGATCATTATATTCATGTAGACTTCCTTTAATTTGAGGTGGACGTTGGAAGAAGGAAGGACCAAAGAGGATGAGAAGGGGAACAGGAGGGAAGCGTTGAGCCTAGGGAATAACTAGGGCTCTATTTGACATCACTTAAAATTATTTATAAGTATATTTTATATAAATTGAGAGAAAATTTTTCTTACATATTTATTTTATATTTCATAAATTATAATTAAAAAACTGCCATATGTCTCACCTTCCTGACAGGACCCAATTTTGTTATTTTCATGTCCTGGTGTTTGGAAGGAACAAACACAGATAGATGCATCATTTGTCATCATGTTTGAAATTATTTATAAACATATTTTACATAAATTAAGATAAAATTATTCCTACATATTTTCATATATTCAGTAAATTATAATTAAAAAGTTGTTGATAAATTATTTCAAAAGGATCATAAAAAAGTGATCCAAGGGGCGAAGCAGGCTATAAAATTGCGTTTTATTATCATCCACATACATAAAATACATTGACCGACTTGTAACTTTTTTACCTGCAAAGCATAGAGCTCCCTCTCCTGTCCTTTTCATGACACAGTATTTGACGGGAGGGCTGAGAAGATTTTTCTTTTTTGACCAGCGGCTGAGAGGAATTTTAATAAAATAGAAGATGGAAGGGAAAAAAAAATTAGAGGTACATACTTATAAGTGCTTACAAATATAATTATAAATTCCTGTAGACTGTCATTGACTCCATTATGTTATGTATGGCGTTCCCCCAGCCTGTCTCCGTCCCTGCCACTCTCTTCCTTCATTTCCCTCACCCCACCCTCCTCTCCTCTGCCGTATCTCGCTTTCTCTGTTTTTTCTTAACAATTCATTTTATATTTCCTAATAAAAAAACTCACCTTCCCTACCGTCAGTCTATCAACATTTGTGCCTTTCTTAAAAAATAATAATAATGTACGATAATGCACACCACACACACCCATGAAAATCTTTTTATTTTTTTTATTTTTTTTAAATGGAGACAAGAATATGCTTACAACCAAAGTTGTCCAGATGAATCTGACTCAACCATCCGTATTGTGTGTATGTGTGTGTGTGCATGCAATTAAAACTCATTACCACTTCAATTACGTCAAATTTTTTTGACCAAAAAAAAAAATTACGTCAAATTTAAAGCCACGGACCATCTCTACTCAATTATTCTAAATCATCATTCTGACTCTTAAAAATTCTTCATAAAAACACTATGATCATATTTTAATCACTTGTAACTGTAATGCCGCTATTGTAACCCTATAATGTCGTTGTCTTTTTCGGCAAAAACAGACGTAATTATGAAAATTCCAGACACAAGTGTGGAAGAAACCTTTTTTGGACCACAATAAAATCAATTTTGCTTCCAAGAAAAACTAACAAATAGTCAAATCTCCTTCAAATTCATGGGAGCTTCAATTTCAAACCTCCCCCCACCTATAAAAATCATTCAAAATTAAAAATAAAAAAATAAAAATCAAGAAAAGAAAGAAAGAAATACACATCAATTGCAGCCACCGTCGCACCCACCAATCAAACTCCCAAAGCTTATAATTTCATATTTTCGCTCACGCACCATCCTCCACTTCCCCACATCACCTCGCCTTTGTCCTTTTCCCTTTTTCCCTTTTCTCTTTTCCTTCCCCCCCAAAAAACAAATATTTATATTTTCCCTTCGAGTTTCGTTAAGGCGTGATTGATCTGGGCGGAGTCCTTGACTCGGCCGGCGGCGTTTGACCGTCCGATCCCTTCGACGGATCGTCCGACGACTGCCGCAACCCCTCGTCCGTCTCGCTCCTATTGATCTCCTCCATCATCCGTACCACCTCCTGCATGGTGGGTCTCTGATCGGGAACCACCGACACACACGCCATGGCTATCTGCAACAACTGAACCATCTCTTCCTCTATATTGTGGTACCTCATGAGCTCCGCGTCGAACACCTCCGCCGTCCATTCTTCTCGGACCACCGACTGAACCCATCTCGGAAGGTCAATCCCCTCCTCGCCCAGCGACGCCTGGTTCGGCGCCTTCCCGGTGAGGAGCTCCAGCAACAAAACGCCGAGGCTATACACGTCGGATTTGAAAGTGACTTTCCGCGTTTCAAGAACTTCGGGGGCCCGATAGCCCGCCACTCGGTTCGAGGGCGTGGTGTTGGCGAATAACGGGTTGAGGCCGAAGTCCGAAACGCAGGCCTCATTATCGCCTCCTCGGAGAAGTACGTTGGAGGCTTTTACGTTACCGTGGACCACTTTTCCCGACACGTGTAGGTGAAGCAAACCCCGGGCAGCACCCAGCGCTATTCTCATTCGGCTATCCCAGTCAAGCGGCGACCTCCCTGACCCCCTGCTCCCTGTATTCCATTCCCAAATCTAAATTTTATTAACCAATAATATTAATGATAATGATCATAACAAAACAATTTCACTTTGTCTCCACATAATAAATCACAAAATACTGGAAGAAAAATCACATTCTTAGAGATGAAAAATAAAAAGCACATTGGAAATAACATTCTCCTTTGGATGGTCGGTCTTGTTGGAGCGTGGTAGCTTTGGAAGGCATAAAAAAGCACGCCAAGTGGCATATTGCCTTTTGTTTTCCTTTTATGAAGGTAGAGTGGAAATTTGCTTTGGCTTTATTAGTTTTCTTTCTCTTTATTAAGGAAAAAAGGGGAATAAATCATAAATCAAATAATGAGAGAGGGGTATGTTTGCTTGCTTGAAGGAAGGGACATGAGATAACAAAAGCAAAAGGGAGACGGGGAATGTTTGCTGCGGAGGTATGGATTTTGAAGACCAGATCATGATGAAGCAGCGCACCCTACGCTCTGCTTTTTGATTACCAACACAATAATATTCAATTACCGCCATTATCAACGCCAATCAATCATCCAGACAGACATTAGTTCATGCACACATTCTTATGTTGTACTCCTATATTAAATTCAATTAAATTACAATATCCTAAAATCTTCATCCCTATTTACAGCTGGAACGAGTTGAAAGTTTGGTCAACACCTTCACTCGCAGAACCCAGAGAAAATAATGCCAGTTTCAAACATCAAGAATATTGTTCCGTATGAACATAATAAATGCCGAAACGCCCTCGATAATGTGCAACTGTTACCTACTCTAAATACTATCAGACATAGTAAGTAAATTGTTTTTCTTTTTTAAAAAAAGGGTTAAATTCAAATTAATTGGCTGAAAATGGAGAGGAAGGCGGAAGATCGTACCGTGAAGCAGAGCAGACAAGCTACCGGATGGGAGGTAATCGTAGACGAGCAATTTCTCGTCTTTGGAGTAATAGTAAGCTCTGAGAGGAACCACATTCTCGTGCTTAATCTTTCCCAGAACCTCCATTTGAGCATCGAAGTCTTTCTTTGTTACGGCCACGTCTTTCAGTCTCTTCACCACCACCGTGGTTCCTTCTTCCAGCACCGCCTTGTACGATGTTCCCACGCTTCCTTTGCCCAGAACTTCTGCCGAAGCTCTCAGTAGATCTTCCAAATCGAAGCTGTATATCCCGCCTTCGAAGAACACTAACTTGTTCCTCTCTGCCTCCACGGACCCGCCGGTGATATCGTCTTTTGAAGACGATGTTCCGGCCTCCGCCGGCGCAGCACGAGTTGCCGCCACGGGCTTGGGCTGTTTTGCTGGTTGGCTTCGCCGGCGTTTGCGGAGGCACAGCAGAAGTAGCAGCAGGAGGAGTAACAAGGCCGCGACAGAACACCCAACTGCAATTGCGATAATGGCGCCTTTTGAGAGCTTCTTGGACTTTTTGTGAGCTGGGGAAGAGGGCACGACCGGGGCGGAAGGCGACGGAGCCGGAGACGGGAAGAATGGGTTACATGGCGGCAATGGTCCGCCGCAGAGATCTAAGTTTCCGGTGAACGAGGATGCAGGGAACTTGGAGAGAGATTTGGGGATCGAACCATTAAGCTGATTATTAGAAACATCGAAGCCTACCAATTTGGCACTCACGCTTGGTAGATTGCCCGAGAATCTATTGCTTTGCAAGAAAAGACCGGTCAAGTGGGTCAAATTGTTGATTGAGAAAGGGATTGGACCCGTAAAATTGTTGGACGAGAGATCCAAGCGCGTCAAACGACCCAACTGAGTCAGAGAAGTAGGAAACCCACCAGAGAGCTGGTTATCCTGGAGGTACACGTTACGAAGCAACGTCAAATTAGAGAAATCGGCGGGGATCTCGCCGGCAAGACCATTAGAGCGTAGACTCAGAACTCGCAGCTGAGTGAGACGACCGATTGTGTCGGGAGGAATCCCACCCAAAAGGCCAACGCCGGGAAGACGGAGAGAGAAGACGAAGGAACGAGAAGGATCGCATTTGACGCCAAACCAGTTGCAGGCTGAGTCAGAAGCGTTCCATCGGACCCGAGAGGCGTGTGGGGTCTGAGAGATGAAGGCAAGGAGGGCTTGCTTCTCCTGAGTCGGCTCCGTACTGACTCGCACACTCAGCAGCAGAAGCGAGGCGACGAAGAAGACAATCATCAAACGCCAAGCGTACAATTGGTCCGCCATTGGGGGGTAACCTCAGCTGCGTAGGATAAACAATAATACAAGAAGAGACAAGAAGGAAGAGAACAAAAATGTGACCCTATGAGCGTCCATGAGGGGAGTTGCAGAGAAGCCCAGAAGCGGTTTTCCGGCAGTATTCCATGGGAGAAGGAAGGGCGGGGGAAGAGAGAGAGTGTAGAGAGAGAAAGAGAGTGAGAGGGGTGAGTAAGAAAGAAAGGGAGGAAGAGGGTTTTGTAAGATTGTGAAAGAGAACAGGATCACGAGGGCTCCAAAGTGAACACAAAAGGCTGTCGTGCTGGCAATTGTCGAAACCTTATTTATTTATTATCATATTTATCGTTTCAGTTTTCCGCTTTTACCACTACGCTTTTATACCCGCTAAAAGCAACGCGCTGATCTCCCGCGCGTAACTTTTATTTTGGGGGGGTTTTTTTTAACGATTAATGGTGCAAAAACTTGAACAGACCAAGTTAAGGAAAAGTAAGGGCGTGAGCGTGAGAAGGAGCAAGTACTATTAGTAGTACTAAACCGCTAATAAATGGTTGCGTGTTGGGATTAGGATGCGTGCGCTGAGGGAGGGGCATAAATGGTAATCCGAGGTGCGTTGTTGTTTGCTGGTCTTAATGGGGCCAAGGAAGGGCATCATCATTGATTGAACAGGCCCTGTAAGAATTAATTCAGATGAATAAATATATTAACTTCTGTTTTAATTATAAAATTTTATTTATAAATTATAAATAAAATTTTATAATTAAAAACAGAGATAGTATTTGTTACATATCATAATCAAAAGTTGAGGAAATATTTTAATGAAGGAACAGTTGCGCATTAAAAAGATAAGCAAGTTTAATAATTGATTATAATTTAGAGTGTTTTTTGTATAAAAAAAAAAAGGATGGAAAATGGAGTATGTATGGCGCTCCTATAGAGTCATGGTATCCAATGATATGGTGTGGGCTCTCCATCCTCTTGTAGGGATGTTGAACTCGTCTGTGTTAAGAAAAGCTGCACTTAGACTAACAAGAATTAAGTTTAATAGAAGGGGTTAGTCTCTCGCAACGTGACGAATCACGATTTGAATCCCCATTAGGAGAGGTATCCACATTTAGTGTCTGATAGTATTTCAAATAGAATTGCTTCCAATAGAAGGATACCTATGCTTTAGCAAAAAAAAAGCTATACTTAGATTTTTTTTTATATATAGACATATTCTAACTGGCCCCGCAAAAGAGGCTTCCATTTGATATTATTCCTTCGGTCTTTAATATAAGACTTATTTAACTAATTTGATTAGATTGAGGAAGTTGGGTAAATTAGTCAACTATAATAAATATAACATGATTTTTCTAAAATACCTTAATCATCTTCATTATATCCTTCCTCTCTCTCATACTTATTCATGATTGAGGGGGTATTAATAAGGGTAATTTGAAAAACAATTAATAAATATAAGAAATATGTTTTATATTTAGGACTAAAATCAACTCTACAATTAGGTCTTATATTAAGGATCGGAGGAGTACTAAATACAATTTTAGAAGAAAGCATTAATCAGATAATTCTTGCCCACATCTAGGAACACCAATAAACACTGAAAAAGATAATTTTACGTGAGTCAAAATTTTTGTTTACTTAACTCGAACTCATAAAATTACTTTTACAGAGTTAATCTAAATACTGCAAAATGAAAATATTTAAAAAAAATCATTCTGAGACAAATTTCTTTACACATCATTCCAACATCAAATGTATATCCTACGCCACATTTCATTTTAAATTTCTCGAAACTTATTAAGCTTCCTTCATTCATACACACACATATACTACCTTTGGTCCTAATTATAAGAACCAGTTGACTAATTTGAGAAGATCAAGAAAGTAAGTTAAGTTAGTTATTTGTCCTAAATGGGTGTTGTTTTTCTTAAAATATCTTTACTAATAAAGTGTATTAACTAGAATTATAATTATTTGAAGGACTATCTTGAAAAAAAACTGAATAAATATAAGAGATAAAATAAATTAGGGTCTTATATTTAGGATCAAAATAAAAATCAAATAAAATATTATATTAGGGACAGGAGGTAATATATTGTTTGTATCGTTCATGGTACAGGGAAAACGCAAGAAATGATAAAAGATGATTACAAGGTGGAGAAATCAGGGTTGACTTGGTAAAATAAAATGGGCGGCAGGGAGAACATGAAATTGATGAAGCTGCAGAAATCACACCCACGTCTCAATTCAACGACCCGGTCGTGTTATAAAGCCGCGTCTATAATTCACGTGTCCAATTATATAGGATATATTTAGATTAGTATTAGACAAAACTGACTTCTAACCTAACTTACTTTTGTAACTGAAATTAGAATAAAAATAAATTGTTATGTAATGCAATTTATATTTGGATTGGTGCTTCTAAAAAGTCAATTAAAAAAGTTAAAAGTTGTTTAGATGATTAATAAAAAAATTAGTTTAGTTGTGAAATGATTGAAAAAGATATAAATTTTATTGAATAGTAATGTTAGAAATTTTATATTTTTAATGTGATGATAATTTAAAAAAATACGTGAAATTATTATGATAAAATATAAATGGTTTATTTGTGAAATTATAAAATAAAAATATTTGTTACAGAAAAAAATTTGAAAACACATTGTAGGTAATTAATTAAATATACATAATGAACAAACATGAATATGAATTAAAATTCATTTGATTTGAATAAAAGCTCATTATGCTAACAAAGAAGATGAGGCAGAGAGAAAAATGTGAGGGTAAATCTGTTATGTTCATTTTTAATAATCACCGTTTGAAATTGCAATTTGAAAAGTCAGATTTTTGTTCTGCTGAGTCCAACTGAAGTTGAAAGCTAAAAGTTAGTTGGAAAAGTTAGCCCGGCTAAACAATATTTTTTTGTTCAACTCAATTTCTAACTTCAGTTTCACAATTTTCAATGAGCATTTACAATTTGTAACTATAATCCAAACATAGTCATAGTACTCATTTGGGTTGGTGATTACAAGCATGTTTTATTCTTTTATATATTTATCTCGTATTCTATAAATCACTATTAAAAAACTGATTAAAGTCATTTCAAACAGGCTCATAATAGGTTAAATTCATCCCTATAATTCCTTTTTTTCTCTGGCATTATTTCTTTCTTTTCTATTAATTTTCTTGGATAATTTCTCCACTTAAACTATCTTTACACACACAATTTAACATGTGCAATGTTTTCCAATGTCATGATTTTAACCTTAGTAAGTGGATAAATAGCTGTTATTCTGGCCAGTTTAATTTCCACTAATTCAGGCAACCGAACTGCTTCTATTTTCTTAATTTGTACCCGTCAAGTCCCCCCCCCCCCCAAAAAAAATTCCAAACCCCAGAATGCTAAGAAATCATGGACTAGAGCCAAGTAAATGAAAACTCAGGCCCTAACAAATACACACAAGAAATCTTAAACTCGGGATTAATATAAAATAAACCCAGAAATTTTCAATTCTGTCGTTAACAACAAATCCAAAAGCTAGACTTTGGCAAAGGGGATTTCTAGTTTCTTAATTAACTGTCAGGCGTCAACACACTGCAATATTGACCGATGACAGCAGGTAAGTGATGCTTCTTTGGAGTAATTAATTTAATAATCACGAATTTAATGGCAAAGTTTGGTATAGTTATTATTAATAAATAATAAGACGTGACTCATATTGTTGGTGTGGGTGTTTTATTAATAACTAGTATATATAGATATGCCTTTGTTGGTGTATTTTATGATTCACAGAAATAATAAGCTGTCTTCTTGCGTTACGTTTTGATTTATCACCAAAGTTCATTATTTGCTGGGTCAATAAATATCGGAATATAAATGTCACTTTCATAAATTAAATATAAATATTTTATGTTTATACTAATACCATGTATGTTTGTTTGTTGTTATGGGGATGTTATGTGTGAATAAAGTCCATCTGCCCTTTAATTTAATTGCCACCGAAAATACTGAGCAATTGGAATCATTAATTCCCGGTCTTCATCATCCAGTTGAAGTTAGGTTTACTCAGAAAAATATCTAACTTCATAAACATATATAATTAGATATTTGTTATAACTGTCGAAAAGAAATATATTATAATTAATTTTTTGTCAAGTTGACATTGAAAATAGTAATACTACGTCGGCCCTTAAAATCAGTTAAAAGGGAGAAATTTAACTCTGTTAAATATTGTAAAATGACACCATAATTAACTAGGAAACAAAATAGATATATATGCCGTCGAATATATATAAAAATTAAAAGCCACTTTTGCATATATAGAGTATTTTGGAAACACCAAATTAAAGATGGACGTGTGTTTAACCAACTAAAGAGGACGCAGCCCAATTTGATTATTGAGAGAGGCAATTGGCAGCTAATACAAGTAAGAGATACACAAGCCGGCTTATCAATATCATATATTATGAAATTTTTTCAATCTAATTACATAAAGTATATATTATATTTAACTGCTCATGCCTTCTTATTCGTTGTTATATTTGGTTTGATTTTATATTATTGCTAATACCAAATCAACCCTTCGATGTTATTAACCCTTAATAACAAGGCTTGATTGGATCACACGAGAAACAACGTGTGGAAAAGGGTACGCTTGCCGTTCCATGAAATACTCCACTATGCAATAAAAAATACCCGGGCCATATAAAAATCACTTCTCAATATATACAATTAATGTAACTAGTTTGAGAACAGATTATAAATCTGAGAGATACACTCTCTTGGTCTCTGATTGTTGAGTGGTACAAATATTTTGTTTTGGGTTAATGTGTATCTATCATCCAGGAATATTTTTTTAGACACATTCAGCACCATAAAGTATTTTGTGATGCATCAAGTATCGTGAAATATTTCACTAACTACATCTAGCACTTTGAGTATTTTTTAGGTGCATCCAGTACCTTGAAGATTTAGGGTACTAGACGCATTTAAAAAAACTTTTCGGCATGCTTGATGTACTATAAAATTTTTTGGGATACTGGATGCACCTGATAAAATATTTTGCGGTGTTAAATATACTTTAATCCTTCTATTTTTATAGTCTTGCCTCTCTCTCTCTCTGTCTGTGTGTGTATCTCTTAACCTGGATCTTTTATATTC